ATATATATATAGGCCTGTAATTAGCCTATGTCTATGTGTGTGCCTAAACTTTACAAAATTTCACTCGACTACAAAAATATCTATCATCCACAGGTTATCATGAAAAAGATGGTGCGTACTTCTGCCGAAAGGATCGCCCGTTGTGAGTTATCCACGTGGTCGCCTGGCAAATATTGTCTGATACAAACACCGGTCTTCCGCCTTCAATTTTAGAATTATTTTCGCCGTGTGTATGCTCATTTCCATTTTAAAGTCGTATTTGAATAGGTCGGCAAGAGATCAGCAACAGCACCTTCCTCCATCTACCTTTATTTTTAAGTGCAATCTTAATTGTGATTAGTTCACTCGGTCTTCCGGACAAATATCAAATAACGCTACCCATTTAGAAATGGCATCATCACGATAGTCTCATATTTAATGTCATGTTTATATAAAACGCATTCTCTCTAGAACTCTAAATAAGCAGATGAAACTTAAGATTAAAATGACAACACAAAGAAATCAGGTTAAGTGCTCTGAGAAATAATACGGTACAAAACATTGGTGTCTTAGATTTGTACGTAATTACTCTACATTGAAAAAATATTAAACGTGAGAAGAGAGAATGTTGGGCTAACCTAATTTGGTTAAGAATGCATTTTAGAAATGCAACCTTCTTAGTAGAGCGTAAAGCTTTGTCTACACTATCAAATTTCATCAAAAAAGCGTCACATAAAATTTGATGGAACATAGAATTGAACACGTTCAACTTTTTTTGATACAATTTGATGTGATATGACGTCATTGTACCTATGGGCACACTATTTTTTTTGTCACATAAAATTTGATAGTGTAGACAAAGCTTAATGTATATTTTTTGCCTTCCCGAAAGCTTATCTATCTACTACGGTATTCTAAGCCTAATAATAGCAGGCCTATGTCAAAACGTGTCTAAATCTGCCAACATTATTCTGGTCGTGCATCAAACACGTGCGTGCTACTTTAGCTCTCAATGGGAGAGAAATCCATATATTTGTAGCGTTGATCAGAACACAGGGGTCCGAATACGTAACAGGATACGTGGTAGCCTATACCCAAACCGGGTACAACAAAACCTTTAGTTAAACACCGTTTTAAACTGATTCTGTATGGGGAATGTTAAAGTTAAAAATGCAATTAAAACACTGAGTTACTTATTACAGAGCTTGAAACAATTCAATTTTTGCTTTACATACACTTCCTTACGACATTCTAATATTAATTAATAATAGGCCGCTATCATACACGACGCCCGACATTTTACCATGGCATTTAGACCCTATATCCAGATATTTTCCTCAAATTTATAGATTGAATTCCCATCGATATATCAAGCATAATACAATAGCATACGAGAAAATTAATATTAAAGTTGTTTTCGAGTGTGAAATAGTATTGAGCAGGGGAACGAAGATATTAATGTGTGGCGTTTGATTGTTCGGAGGAAGTCACGAGGAGGTACGGTATGCATGATTATGTTCACACGCAAAAGTAAAATTTGTAGAAATTGTACACACGAATCAACAAAAATATTTAAACATAACTGCATTTAAATTAGTAAACATTCACTGCAACATTGTACTGTTATTGAAACATTGTACAGTAATCTAGGTATACAGTACTTTTAAATGATGATTGTTGATTTTTCCTCCTTAATAAAATCGATTTCCCGACATTTTGCGAGTTCGCCTCGTCAGACCATCAAGCGACAAACTGAGATTAGTTTGCAATCCTGAATATTATGTATTAAAGTAATTGATTACGGAAAACTCTTTTTGCCTTTAATGCTGGTATAAAGCGTTTTATATTTCATTCGGTGTTTTTGCGTTGATAATTCAATAACACCAGTAACGAAGGTTTGAATTAACGCTTTAAACAATTTCCTGAGGGCCTTGATTCGTGCATTAAATCTAACCTAAGTATAATACTTCGCTAGTGTACGATGCATGCTCTACTCTTTAAGCCAACTGTTGTAGCAGTCATCGGTTGCTTTAGTGATATGATCAGTATAATACTGTGTGCGTATTTACATTTAGCTGTGCGTATGCTGATTTGTGCTCTTGGCTTTGCATTCATATTCTTTTGGTAATTATTTCGTAAATATACAGTAAATTGGGGCCGAGTAGACTTGGGGCCGAGTTGATATAGGGCCAAGTTGACTTGGGGCCGAGTTGACTTGGGGCCGAGTTGACACCATCCCGGTATTTCAGAGTCAAGGTTTCGGGGCCTGAATTTTTTATGTTACTAGGTAGGCCTAACAATCAGGTATTAAAATAGCACTTTTAATGATGATAGGCTCTAGGCTAGGCCTAAAGTGTAGGCTAGCCAGCCTTTGTTGAAAGGGTACTTCATGATGAAAAGGGGGGTTCGTTCGAACCCAACGAACCCCCTGGCTACGTGCTTGCCTTGTTTTACGATTTTACTAAAGTAATTTTCAATTAAAATTCAATTTTCATCGCGGTGCGCGATATCTTCGTGGTAACGAAAAATTAGGTTGGTTTTTTTTTGCACAAGAACAAAAAAATCAAGCCAAGTGTCCACTAATTGAAAAATTAGTGGACTGTGGGAGTTGCAGTGATGACGTCGCGATTGACTTATTGAATTATTTTATTCACATTGCGATTTGATAATTACAATAACATCAGTAAATCCTCATTGTACTAACGAATATTTCAGTTCGCTATATTATTTCATTCACGTTTTTGCGGTTTGATAATTACAATAATATCAGTAAATCCTCATCGTACTAACAAATATTTCAGTTCGCTCTGCAAATTTAAGTTGAAATTTAAATAAGCATGTCAATATTTTTCATCTTAATTCATTGGTTTTCAGTATTTTACAAAATTGTCTATCTGGTAAATTGAATATTTTAATGCAATATCATGTTCAATAATAGGCCTATATACAGCATTTCACTCCAGTTTAATTTACTAGGCTATAGTATATGCTAATTTGTTCAATAGATTTTATATAACACTGCTTTTTAATAGATTGGCATTAATTCTAAATCCCTGTGAATTATCACTCGGCAAAGAAAAATGTGGATTAAGCCTAAGCAAGGTTTTTTTGGCTGTAGTTAAGTAGGGAACAGTGAAATTTAAACTGCATCTAGTCTGTCTCTTATACACATCTAGATGTGTATAAGAGACAGACTTATTTAGCCCGATACGTGTCTAAAGCTTGGTTTCCATACAATCGCTCGATCTATGGGCGACAGTTGTCGGGAAGGTTGAACCCGGCTCAACTTTGCAGATTGCGTTGCAGACGAGGTACATCCCCGACCCGTCGCAGAGTCGTCTTCGGGAGAATAAATTCCCTGAAGGCGATTGAAGCAACTCATCGAAACGTCGAGATAATTCTCAACCAACAACAGTTCTTTTTAGAACTATCACGCGGTGTACCGATAGCATTAATATATAACAATAACTTTATTAATCGATTGTTGAGGTTTACATTACTCTTGCTTCAGTTTAATAAACCGTGGACATTATGTGTCATCAGGTAATAGTTTAAAGCACAATTTCTGTTCAAGAAATCTGTCTGTGGGAAAATACAATCCGCAACCCCCCCCCCCCCAAAACATTAAGATACTAAATGCCAACGAGAGACAGATCAAAAGAAGTTAAGTTTTAGCTCATTTTAATACGAAAATCACAGCTGGCCAATTCAAAAGGTCTATACGGCAATATTTATGCTTTTCTTAGTCCAAATAAAAAAATGATTGCGTTGGCCACGCCCGACCAACCCAAAGTGTACGAAAAAAGGTTCGGCATAATTTTTTTTTGTTGACTACGACGAAAAATACTTTTTTAGTGAGCTAAAAATGCTGGAATAGCCCTTGCTGGGCGGTAGACGATGCGATTGTTTTGCTCTTCAATATAGATTTTAAAATGGTCTTTGTTGTATTTTTGTGCATTTTCTACTTTTTAGGTATAAACCCATTAGTGGTTTAAAAAAAACTACCCATTTTGAGGGATTTCCCCACAACGTGGCTAACACTAGAATATTATTTATTGACCTCATTGGCGAGAAAAATAATTTCTTGTAATTGAAAAGCTGATAATTTTCTTAAATATGCAAAGTACGCAGTGACTGATTCAGGGGTGGGGGAGGGGGGCGCGAGCACCCCTAAATTCTTCAAAATTATTTAAAAGAAAATGAAGAAAGAAAAATTATATTCAAATTTAAGTTTAAGCGTGCCATGTTCAGCCATCTAGAGGTGCCATAATCATAAATTTCTTATCAAAGATCCTCCCTGGCCCCTCTCCCCCCCCCCACCTTTCTATTTCGAATTCCTAGATCCGTCATTGGTACAAAGTTCTAGTATTGAATTTTATTTTAACTGTTCGCAGTTTATTTGTTCAACCAGACACCCTATATACTGTGGTCAGGCCCATAATTGGGGGGAGGGGGTGAGATCGGAAGGACCCCCCCCCCACACCGAATAGGGAGTTCGGCTTTACAAGTGCGATTTGTCCAATACACATTGATCAAGACAGTCGATTTAATCATTATTTTTACAATTCAAAAGTCATCGCCATTCGTATGTGCTAATGTATGCATGCGGTTGAATAAATTCTGTGATTTGTCGGCCTACTTTGTCGTTGACGATGGAAAACTGGCATGTTGTTGTTATGTGATCCTATCCAAAGAGCACTGCATTTGATCTACCGACATATTGCATTATATAGCCTACTGCCAATTCTTCAACATTTGCACTTAATATAAAATCGATTCAAACCCGAGTCAAGCCCAACCATGCCCACTTTGCTCTCTTCAGAGACATCAGGCCCTTCTGCCTGGACCCCAAAAGTTCCAATCAGATTGAAAAAGATCCCCCCACCCAATTACCAAAGCTGGTTACAGGCCTGGACACAGTGTCTTCTCATCACCATGGACAAAATAATTTCATTTATTTAATATCCTCTCTAAAAAATACAACAAACAAATGCACATGAACAGATCAAATCACAAATTGTCGCCCACACTCTACTCTCAATAATGAAATAAACAATATTGCTGTTGTTTGCACCTATATAGACTAATAACATTCTCAAGATGATTTTTAGGTCGTTTTTTTTTAATACTAAGTATCTCAACAGAAATATTTACAAAAGGGTGTTAGCTACTAGTTTACAAAGAACACATGACAGATTAATTTGCTGCAGTTAGAATTAAAAAAATACTAACAAAATCATACAAAATCACTTAAAATCAACATAACAATGGCAACATTTTATATAAAAAGCTAGGTTACTAAATAGGAATATAAAAAAAAAATGTTTTAATTGCTTTTTTGATAGTATATTAAAGAAATCCAGGGTGAAACACCGAGTAAACTGTAGAAGTAAAGTTAGATACAAATAAAACATGAAATAGCATTATTGATATTTTATAAAAATGTTTTATATTGACATTTAAACCAACACTGATACAGTAACTTTAGGGTCAACTATCATGAGGACAGTCTGGTGTCATGAAGATAGAGGTCATGAAGCTAGAGATTATGAAACTAGAGGCCAAAATACTAGGTCATATGGGTAGAGGTCATGAAGTTAGGTCATATACCAAAGAGGCAATATCCTTTATTACAACCAGATTGATAATTTGTAATTATTAAATTTTTAATAATGATGATTACTGTATTGTGAAATTACTGCAAATACATAATTAAATTATTAATATATTTTATGATTATCATTGATAATGAAAATATTAATAACTATATTATTAATTAACAATAATGATCATACAATAACTAATCAATGAAATTAATGATATGGGGAAAATATTTTAGTACTAGCAATTATTTGTATTCCGTCATGAAAAATAGCTTGTTGTGAGCTTGATGCAAGTTCTTTACGACATCTCAAGGATTTTATGTTATTTATGGACAATGGCTGAAATAAATAAATATGCGAAGAAGTGCTTTCTCCATCATTGCTGGTTAATGAAAACATGTGTGCAGAGAATAAAGAAAAGGTTACAGTGAAATCAATTAATCGTTGGTTTCATTTCAAGATGGCTTGGGCTTGCATAATTAACTTGCGAATTGGCTTTCGTAGGTTATGGCTGCGATTCTTCTCCACGAACTCCGATAACCTTTGACACATCCCTGTGACAACCCCCGGAAGATGTTCGCGAGTCAGGACGTTGCTTGGGTCGATGGCAAGCACGCATTCATCTAAATAGCTGGAGGTAAATTGGGAAGAAAAAAAAACCAATTATATTGACACTGTTTTCTGAGGATTAGGAAATATCTAGAATAATATATTATTTGTTAACAAAATATTACATTAGAAAATAAAGCAAAAATGACAGATTTAATTCTTTGTAATAAGATAAGGAAATGGCAGTGGGCTGAAAAATAGAAAATAGACACAGAATATAATCAACTGGAAATCTATGTTTATTAGGCAACCCAAATAGGGCAAGACTTTTTTCATACCTTGTTTAGCGAACCCACCGACTGCCAAATATGGTGATTTGAATAAAAATTAATTTTTTTTTTGGCCAGTTAGCACACCCTTCATGAGAAAATAGAAATTTCACATCTATTTTTATTACGGCCTCTGTTCCCCGGAAAACCTCCTAAAATAAGATCTATACATTTCTTCCTTAATTTATAAAACTTAAATTTAAACCTTTTATCAATCTCATTACTACATTTTAAAATTCATTTATAATATTTTTTTTATTTTCTCACCTAAATGGTTTTGACAAAAACATTTTGCTAAATAAGAAAAAACCATTTTATTTTAATTTTTTCAGCTGTCTCCGACGATCTTGCGAAACAAGGTTTAAAAACGTCTCACCTAATGGACAGGGAATGGAACAAGAAACACATTTTTAAAATTATTTGGCCCGAGATAAAATATTATACCTATATTTGATATCGGTGTCTGTATCCAGTTCATGTGATAACTGCTGAAGTAAGGACAAAATGACTGGTTGGTCAACCGGGCAAGGAACCTGTCCGAATAAATCATCCGGGCTAAATGACTTGCATGCAAATAGCACTAAGCGAAGATCAGATGCACTGAGAGCCTAACACAGAGAAATGAAAAAGAATTAATAAAAAATGACAAGAAAGTATTGAGCATTATATAATAATAATAATAATATATATATATATATATATATATATATATATATATTCACTTCACTGAAGGATATATAATATTTATTTTGGTAATAGTACTTATTATTATAAATTGAATGTAATAATGTTAATATGTGTTTTAGTGATAGGATACACGTTTTATTTGTATTTCTGAAAATATGCAAATCAGTTGTAGCGTATTGCCTTTTATGATGTTATACAATGTTATCTTGATTTTTGCCATTGTACAAAATCATGATACATAGTTATTTACCTTGTACTTTTTGGGTCATCTGTGAGGAAATCACAGGTGAAACAGACATCACTTTCAATAACAGAGAAAATACATTTTTAATTAACAATTCTCCTGGAAGATTTACTTATTGATTCTGATCCTTAGGCTAATGCCTTAATAATTTTTTCTAATTACAATGTAAGCATTTTTGGACTAACCGTCTGGAAGGCCTCATTGATGTGACCTTGGCTGAGCTGTTGAGCAATCTTTGTCTGCGTGACCTGGAGATCAATCTGTGGGAGAGGTGTCTGCGAGCGAATAGCAGCACTAATACTATCTTGCACAGTCACTGAATGGTCCTGTAGTGCTACTGTTAATTCCTCCTTCACTACTTCCTTAATGCTGCTCAACATACTTTTCTCCATCCTATAATAATAACACATAGTGCAGTGACTTTCCAGAATGTCAGTAAAACTTAAACTGACCAATCAGGCCTTTTGCAGAAAGTCAGTAAAACTATACTGACCAATCAGGCCTTTCCAGAATGTCAGTAAAACTTAACTGACCAATCAGGCCTTTTGCATAATGTCAGTAAAACTTCAACTGACCAACCAGACCTTTTCAGATTGTCAGTAAAACTTAACTGACCAATCAGGGCTTTCTAGAATGTCAGTAAAACTTAGCTGACCAATCAGGCCTTTTGCAGAATGTCAGTAAATATTAACTGACCAATCAGGCCTTTCCAGAATGTCAGCAAAACTTAACTGACCAATCAGAGGCAATATATGTAATAGGAGAGGCAAAGGAATACACACATGCCCAAAAATTGACACTCAACAACGTTACTCTATGAATGGTTGTCATTTTGTGTTTACAGAATCTAAAGCACCTTTCACATAGAGCTGCAATACGGTATTAATACCGTTTTTCGTGAACGCCGGCATTCTATGTGAAAGGGTAAATACGCCTAAACGCCGGCTTCGGTTAGATTTCCTCGAGACCTAGTCAAAATACCGCATTAATACCATAGTGGTTCATTGCCATCTTGCGCACTAAAGCATAACAAATCGGAGGTCAAAGTGCAAAACATTTTTGTTGAACGTGCGAAGAGTTGTTTTTAGATCAGGGTTGTCAATATAAAATTGAGCCCTCTTTATTCACAGACGCAAAATACTCCTTTCGCGCAGGACCCCTTTAAGACAGGATACGGTATTAATACCGGACTTTTACTAATTGTGTGAAAGGGTCTACACCGGCAATAGTGGTGTGACTACGGTAAAATTGCGGTATCTCCTGTCTGAAAAGGGCTTAAGAGAAGGGGACTTTGCAGAATGTTGAAATGTGTATTTATCATTATTTGTGGAATGGTTTATTAGGTTCAGAAATTCCTTTGGTCTACTACAACACTACCACATATATCAATCAAGTAGGCACCTCTCTGCATTAGGTTTCACTATCGAAGATGCACCATGGCATTTATTATTATTACATTGTTAGCTACCTCATGCAAGGGTAGAGATTTGGTCATGAATGGCCAATTTCCATCCATCCACTGATTATATTTGGGCTTGACGACCCCGTCTACTTAAGTTTCAATCCTGATTCTGTTTCTTTTTTCTTCAATCATTTTCCAGTCTGGGTAGCAAAAGTGCCATGAGAATGGTGGACACCACCGCTATAGAAGTCTCCAGAATGATGTCATTATTAGAGATAATATATTTTGAATCAATGTAACATCACGGCATTGTACCATGCTATATTGCAGCAAGTTTATAATCCGATGAAGGCAGAAAACCCCACTAGACCATGAAGTGAAATATCTACCATAGCTAAATACTAGTTGTTACGGCTAAAAATAGAATCATGGTACGATCCAAAAAGGTTGCATGAGAACATCTTGCAAGATAGTATAATACATACTCCAAGTATCGAAATACACGCCATTTTGTCAGGATTCAATATTTCGACATTAATTATGTCATCATCACGAATCAAGAACGTCTTGCATTTGGTATAAATATAAGAGATCATTATTTAGAAATAATAACCCATTTTAATGAATGAGAAGCTTTAGTTTGGTAATTAAGACTTCCTTGTTGCTTTAGTCCTGGGGGACTACTGGTTAAAAAAAATTTATGATTGGTTTTCAACCTACTTTTGAAAATTATTATTGAGGGTGATTGATCAATGAATTCAGGTTGTTGTTAGCTTCGCATGATAACCCAAATCTTAATCAACAATTGCCATAGAAATCAAAAACTGAACGCAATTTAAACTAATGGACTCAAAGAGAGCGATTGATGGCCTTGGGTCGTCATTATCAGGCCACAGATTGAATTGACAAGTATTTGACAATATCAATCAATTTGATAAAGTGAACAATTATCTGATGCTGAAATATATATAATGAGACCACAAATATATTAAAAACGAATATGTAATTAGCCTGTTAAAACTAGTCAGTAACAGGCCCTTATAACAATTACAATCCGACTAAGTCATTTATTTTGTATATTGATGTTTTGGGTCTAATAATTACCCTGCATCTGTACTAAAAATAACAGAAATAACAATATGGATAATAATGGATTTATATCAGAACACATATTCATCAAATTAAGTATGAACTTAAACTTAAACTGGGTCATTGTTGATTTACAATTAGCTATCCATTAGTTATTCAAAAAATATAAAAATAAATTAATTAAAATAACATTTTTAAATTAAAATATGAATACCAAGTGCAATATGAAAATTTGTTGGCATTGTACAATGAAAATGCTGATAGGTTTAGTTAACTGAAAGTAGAAATGATAAATAATTTGTAAAACAAGTTTGTGGGCTAAAAGGAAAGACAATACACAAATAAAAAGTGCCCTGTTCAAGGACACTATGCAAGAGTGGTGGCATCAACAGGGGGCCTGGGTAGGGTGAGGGGCCCACAGGACACATATCGGAACATTGGACACCTGTTGGGGAACAATGCTTTAAAAAAGCTCTTTTCGCATTCTGAGTGTGCAATTTCGGTGATCTAAGTGCACATTCTGAGGTTGGTGTTGAGCTTGGACATCTCGTCTGGGAATCTGTGGTTCTTTGACTACTAAGCAAAACAAGAGTATGTGATTCAACTGCATCTTTAATGTTATTTATCTTTTTAAGTCATTTAAAAAAATTATTACTGAAGTTTTACTATTATTCCTGTGACCACACTAACCTTTCTAGGCTTTGGTCAAGCTTCGCACCAATTTCTTCTTGGATCAAAGACGAAGTATCTATATGTAGCTGGGCAGAGCTTTCTTTGAAGTTCGCAACTAAGGCCTTCAACTCTGCAACAACCGGATCCTTGGCATCCACATGTTTCTGTCGCAAGTCTTGCATTTGAGAATCTACATGCTGTAGGTCTGTTAAGAGGAAAATGTGACTTTAAAAAAAAGAATTTCTTTAGTGACATTTACAAATTATTAAATCTAATATTATTCTCTTAGCTGCCATCAAATTGTATTTTACCATTTTCCATAATTGAAGTTGCTAGTGAAAGCCGTAATAATTGTCTTGGTCAAAGGTCAAATGCTATAAAATAGTTACAAGATTCTTCCTGCCCATATACTGTAGTTCAAATTTTAAATGGAAAAGTAGTTTTTCAATACCAACAAAGCCAATTTATGAACAGGTTTTTAAGTAAAAAAATACTCCCTTTTTTAAAGATTATTCTCTCTGCTGAATAAAGCATAACTATTTTCAAAAACTGTAATTACAATAAAAATTATTTAAAATCTTGGTTCATTTTTACAGATCCAAATGTCTGTTGCCAAATTTGTTATTATTTTTTTAGGGGTGGTGAGGATGGAAATGCTTAATTGTTTTTTATTTATGAAGTATAAAACAACAAGTGCAAGTTGTTTGGATGTCAGCACTATCAAATTTCTTTGACAAAAAAAAAAAACTGATGTATGCCCATATATAGTCATGATGTGCCTATATATGGTCATGATGTGCCTATATATGGTCATGATGTGATGTCATCATGACCATATTTAAGCATGTCACATGTTCTTGTCAAGCAAAATTTGATAGTGTGGACAGGGCTTTAAATTGATAAAAAGAAATTAGACGGTTCCACAGCTTATAAATTTCCAATGACAAAAGAGTGAAACACTTACGATTTGAAAAAAAAAAAAAAAAAATTGCATTGACTAATAGCCAATTTAAAAACACTTGTGTCAAGGTAAGTACGATCAACAGCTTCCATAGCAACGATGCTCAGATAAGAGATTGTTCACAATTGGCTGCGCATGCTAATATAGCCATTCTACCAGTCATTTGTTCTCCATACCCATTCAGAAGAGGACAGATTTGATGAAATTTACTATTGATGATTAATGGTCAATAGCAATCGCTTGAGCGGCAGTGATGGATACAGACTCCATTAATAGAATGACAAATTTTTTGTAAAGGCTGATGAAGCAACTTAGCAGTAATAAATCCTCATCATTTTAATGGCCTTAAAAATTGCACTTTGTAGATTAAAGCTACATTTAAGTTATACTTCCATGCCCTTTGGCGACAGTTTTTTTTACCGCTTTGTCTCTAGGCAGCTCTCCTTACATTTTGTATTTTTAATAGAAAATAAAACTCAAAAAACATTTAATAATAATAATGATATGTCGTTCTTATATAGCGCTTAATGCCTTAACAAAGCTCTAAGCGCTTCATTTAATACTTTAAGTCTACATAGTTTATCTGTCTTTAAAGTAGTAAACTAGTCTTTAAAATACTAAATGTTTTTTGAATTTTTTTTTATTCTATTACATCAGACTAGTACGACTCATCTATTTTTATTTGTATTTTTAATGTTTGTACTGCTGGTATGAAAAAATTATATCAAAATAAAATAATATATCTAAATTTTTTTATGCAAGAAAAAAAACCTCAAAAATCAAAACATATGGGGCTTCTTGACATCCCAAATCCAGCATCAGTTATTAAAAAAATGGAAATTGACTTTTTAATATATTCTTATTCTCCACATCGTAAGCTGGGTCATTTACTGCAATTGTCTTTACTATTGTCAAAGTTATGAGTAAAAATATTATGGGTTCTATGTATTAAAGTATACAATACTTCCACATTCTTGTGTTAATTATTCAGTTTAACATTTAGCAACAGTACGCTGGATTTGGGAGAATGCCTCATATAATTAATTAATCAATGAGAAAATGGCCAATGTTGGATTTGAACCATGACTACATGGTTTTGGTGTTGAATCACCACTGCAATGCCATTTGCATACCTGCCACACTATTCATTGGTGCCACGCCCCCCCCCACCCCAAACAATTTGTAAGATGGTAATTATATATCCTAATTCCTGTGCAGTTGCTTTAAATAAAAAACGTTACTTTTAAATTTCTAATGTACTGTATATTTACCTCACAACCACCACATATATTTAAGTTACATTTTAATCAGTAGGCCTACAGACTTTACCATAAAGGTCATGGTATGTTGCTTGTTTCGCTGATCGCATAACGTCATTTGAGTATTTAGACAAATGACACATGACGAAAGCCAAATCTTTGACAGAAAAAGGCCATAACAGAAAGTAAATTTTACATAAAAGATATGTTTGTACAATATTTATTTTAATAGGCCTTGGTCTTTTTTGCCCAGCCAGGGCTAGGCCTAGGACGAATCTAGGTCTAGGCTAGGCCTGGTCAGACTAGGGTCTAGTAGGCTAGCCATAAAACATCTGCCAATTGAAGCCTATGTCATAACCTATTATTTATCTTCATAGTTCATTATTATTATCATATTTAAAACATTGTTTATTATCTAAAAAGAACCTAATTAAACATGTATGCCTACTATACTACTGATCGAATAGTCTAAAAAAGGTCGAGAGACGGCTAGAAATTTCTAAAAATAGGGACGTCCTGATTTTTTTTTTGGTGTTTTTGACATCGGAAATTGGGACGATCCCGATTAAATCAGGACACTTGGCAGGTCTGCATTTGCTACTACCACTCACTTTGAATTGTGAGTGGAGTTGGTGGTTAAGATGCATACCTTTCAATCCCAGGATCCTGGGTTCAATTCATGTTACGGTTAAAGGATTTTTTTTTCTCATGGCCAATATCAATTCCACTTCCTAGGCCCCAACTTACATTCTCGTGTACCTGACTCGAAGGCAGCATTGACCTGGGACAACATGTTCTGACAGCTTCTTTCAAACGCTGGTAGAATGGAAGTGTGAAACGCATCTCTATACGTTGACTGGATCGTATTTGATAGAGTATTGGCTGCTGCTTGACCCATTGCTTCAGTTGTTGACTGTCGGCAAGAAAAAATTAATTATTTAAAAAAGAAAATTATTTCCATACCAACTCACAAAAATAAAAACCTTCAATTAAAAGTTGACATCAAATATATATAAAATATATAGATATTTATGCACAAACAAATAAAATAATAAATGCATATATAAGCTAAAAAATCCCAATAATTTTTTACTTAAAAATGGTTAAACTGTCCAAAAAAATATCACAGTAGTTATTGTATCTCACACAAACACTTTTAAATAGACCTCTACGCATAACATCAACATGTCAAAAGGGTAGATTTAAAAGCCTTTTATCGGGTACGGCTAGACACATATAAATTATATATATATAAATATACTAATTCACAATCAAAATTCATAATTTTATAAAGAAAAATCCTATCAGAAAGCATTCTACGGTAACTAAGCAGCTCAATGTTAAAATCATAATTATGATCTTAATAATCTTAATAATAAATCTTAAAAAATTTCGCTGAACATTATCAATCCGGTGAGTTTGAACTGGAGAAATAGAATTAAACGTTTAAGTGCAGTAATCTGTAAGTCTAATAATGGTTGTATATAAAGACAAAAGAGCTGATCCATCCCTGTCTCTTATACACATCTAGATGTGTATAAGAGACAGCACTAACTGCCTTGACTGTTTTGTCCAATTTCGTGGTTACCGATTGACGCAGTGTATGTGATATGTTATCCATCAGTTTATCTTGTTTCTGTTTGTCTTCCTGTTGGCTAAGCTTCATTCTTTGACCTAATTATCTATTAAGGATCATCAGATAAGTACCTGTCTCTTATACACATCTAGATGTGTATAAGAGACAGACATCAACACGTCAATAGGGTAGATTTAAAAGCCTTTTATCGGGTACGGCTAGACACATGTAAATTAAATAAACTAATTCACAATCAAAATTCATAATTTTATAAAGAAAAATCCTATCAGAAGGCATTCTACGGTAACTAAGCAGCTCAATGTTAAAATCATAATTATGATCTTAAAAATCTTAATAATAAATCTTAAAAAATTTCACTGAACATTATCAATCCGGTGAGTTTGAACTGGAGAAATAGAATTAAACGTTTCAGTGCAGTAATCTATAGGTCTAATAATGGTTGTATATAAAGACAAAAGAGCTGATCCATCCTTTTGTTTCTCTCGATCATGCCTAGCATTTAATATAATCAATACTTTAATATTTTTATATATTATTTAAATATTTATTTAAGCAAATAAAACAAAAAGGAAGCATATGAAATTTAAAAACAAAGTATAAATAAAATGAATTGCCTGGACATACAGCTTTAGAAAATTCCATTTGCTATTATGACAAGAAGGGATTTTATGACACAAGTAGTGACATGCAATCACGCATTTAATAAACATACATTATTTGTTAGTGTCCGCACCCAGGGTCATAATTCTTTTACAAAATTTATGTCACGTTCGCAATTATCTCTATGAGTAATTTACTTCTTTTTTATACCTGTTTTTCCCCCCTTTTTAATAAAGTGCAATTAATGTTTATGGATATTTTTTATATCTTAATATGTTTGCTTTGAAGTATATTGAGCATATTGATTTTTATAAATCATTTTTTGTGAATTTCAATTTTTTTACAATAATGGTGATGTGATGGTAACTTAAAGAAAATAAATTCTACATCATTCTTTTTAACATCAATCTTTTTCATTAAATAATAATTACAATAAATAGGGGTGTCCCTGAATAGGGTACCTCTATTGAGGGGACACTGGCCAAGAAATGTGAAATTGTCCCCATAATAGGTGTCTTTGGCATGGTTTTCGTACAATGATGACATAGATTCTTTGTAATTATATTTTAATTGCCCTAAGAATGAGTTACAGTTGTATTATTACCAATTTTTTACAATAATTTGCAATGTAAAAACAATTCATTATGGTATGAAATAACAGAAATATTATCAAAATAACAAAAGTTGCACATGTTCCCGATATTATTTCATGATTCGTGTGAAATGTTAACAACCAAAATATTCTTTTTTTAATTTGAGCTTTCTATTGGATGTACAAGATAGCCTTAATAGAATAACAACATAAAATCAGGGTGCAGGCTGTAAGGTATATACACTAGACAAGAATGGTCAAAATGAAAAAGATTGTATTATACGAAATACAGAAACACATGCACTAGACCTACATACCAATGTCCATTCTAGATATTGAGAGGAAAAATTCTGGTTTAATGATTAAGTTTATGGCTCAAGAGGTGGCAAAATATAAATTTGAATGAATTTTTACACTACTGTAGATTTTTTATACAATAAAAAAAAAATTGTCCCCTTAATAGAGGTTAAAATGTTTTGATTTGACCAACTGGCACACTCAGAAAGTATCCTGTCCCCTGAATAAGGGTGCACCAAAGGAGGGGTTTGACTGTATTAGATGTTTACCAGGGAAAAATCACCTGCTTTTTCTGAAAAGTGTGTTGCGTTATTTAATGTCCACATGGCCATATTTTACACAAAATCAACGGCTTAAATGTCTCATCTGAACAGGTGTGCTATTGGTAACTGATTCCAACCTCAAGCTGCAACACAAAGAGGTTAGCGGACACAACCAGAGACAAAGTTCATGTGAAGATCTCCACGCTTCAGTGCACATGCAGTGGACACCACCATTGTAGTCGACTGAGCAAAGTTCTCATTTCAAACAATTATGTATCCATACATATGTTAACTTACTCTTGATTTGACAAGTTTAGATATATTTTCTCTCATGATGTCGTTGGTCGCCGTGATTTTATGGCTCACCGTCTCGTGTAATCGCTCACCAAGTGGTTGTACCATTTTCTCAATCTCTGCAACAATAATACGAAAATTCCAAATTATAATATGGCTAATATGAAAAACACAAGGCCCTCCTATGCTCCTTTAAAAAATTCTGGAATATATTTTGAATACTACAATTCTTACTATCTGCATTAGAATGAATATATTTGGTGTAAACACCATAAATAACCCACGAAAGTCATATTTCCAGTGGGGTCCTTCCGGTTGTAATTGGACAGTACGCCGGGAGACAATCCCCTACTCTTGTCAAGAGTGTACTGCGTTCTTTAACATGCACACTGGCCACATTCACCATGGGACAAACATGTTAAACTTCTCATCCGAATGATGTTTGTATTTCAGCTTCCAACTGAAACACAAGAACAGTGATGGGAATTGAACCAGGGACTAAGAGATCTCCACGGTTCAGTACACACACAGTGGCTACCACCAGTTTAGCCGACTGGACTATGTTGTTCTGTCATGATATTTATATTGGTATTGTAGCTTACTCAGTGAAGGAACTGGTCTTATGCTAGGCCCTACTATTATGCATTTGTGTAAATCATCAGATATTATGTGGCATGGTACTATAATGGTCCTTCCCGCTAAGCCCCACCCCTTGAATATTGTTGCTGATTGGTCAGTTTGTAAGTTTGATTGACATTCCGGAAAGGTCCATTCTGCAGGTACTTACGGGGCAGTATATTCTGCTGTATTTCTGCCTTGACTGTTTTGTCCAATTTCGTGGTTACCGATTGACGCAGTGTATGTGATATGTTATCCATCAGTTTATCTTGTTTCTGTTTGTCTTCCTGTTGGCTAAGCTTCATTTTTTGACCTAATTATCTATTAAGGATCATCAGATAAGTACTATGCCACTTCTTCTGTAGAAAATATAACATATCTACTTTTTCTTTAAATAATATATTAATTTCATACAAGATTTTTTTTGTATTACTCTATTGGTGTCAGAAGTTAATTGAGTTTAGGTGCAAGACAATTCCATAGTTTTGGAGCAGAAAAGGAAAAAAAAGTTTGCCTGTATGGAATACAACATTCTATGTACAGACTACATGAAAGAGTTTGACTGTCTTCTGGAACATACAGATAATTGTTGCAAGATGGATGAAAAAAATAATTTGGAGCACATTTATAAGTGGGAAGGATAATTTTTTAATAGTTGAACATTTATGTTTTGGTAGCGAATGAAGGTCTTTTAAGGATAGGTGAACAGGCCTAGAAATTTATTTATTAGCCACTAGCATCCTATTGCTAAAATTTGCTAGTCGTGAAAAATGTAACTAGCAAAGTAAGTAGCTCAACTAGTAAAATATATTGATACCAACCCAACATATTATTTATATTGTATATACAATAAATTGTATGAAAATAACAACTAATGATTATGATATACTTCTATTGAAATTTGTGTGTATGTTGTAATATAATATTTTCTGTTATGGTGAGTGTAGTACAATATATATAGCCAAATGAGTGTAAGTAATTGATTTCTATACCTTGTACATCTATTCATTGCAGTTTCTAAACATTTTTAATATGAAAAAAAAATCACAGATACAAAATAAAAATTGAATAATTATATACTTATTTTAAAATTAAATTAAGTATATAATATATTAAATTTTTATTTTGTATGACTTTTTATTTATATTAATGATGTGCCTCTTACTGGAATTTTTCAAAATAATATACTGTAATATAAAATAAAATTTTATTAATTTTATATTAATATCATTTTGAAAAATTCCAGTTTTTGTAACTTTTCTTTCATATTTTATTTTACTTAATTTGTTTTAATTACTAGGCTAATTACAAAATATATTGTATAGATATTCCAACTAGCAATCATTTTTTTTTGTATTTGCTGGTTTGTGAATGTTTACCTAGCAATTATAACAAACCTACTAGCAAATTGCTAGTTTGCTAGTGCGAGCCCTGGTGAATAAAAGTAAATGTAAACATATTTGATCATCTTACTAAGTAAATCAAGGATTTAATTGAATGCTCTGGGGTTCCCAAGTGTGCAAACCAGAAATCAAGAAAGGATACGCTCCGTGTCGGAGAACTTGGTGAATATAGATTCCATTCTGGTGCCCAGCCCCTTTTCTAATTTATCTATTCTGGATTTGAGAGACTGATTTATGCTATTTGAAAGCTGACTTCTACTCATCTCTTTCCTTAGCTGCAGTATCTCCTCTTGTTGTTTATCTAATCTATCACTTATTTCTTTTATTCCATCTGTTACCTGCAATAAATATTAACACAAAATTAATAATAAATATTTAGGGTTGGTCCAGAAATTTTCAGTAGGGGGTCCAGAAAAATAGGGCATTGTATAGATGAGATGTGTATAAGAGACAGATAATGGTCCTTCCCGCTAAGCCCCACCCATTGAATATTGTTGCTTATTGGTCAGTTTGTATCTGGTGGGTGGTGATTAGCTGAAAGGATGGGTAGCCTGGAGTGTTTAATTTGTTACTGACTGAAAAAAAACCATAATTGATGTAACTGAGATAGTACACCAAGCTTAGCTAATCATTCTGAATTTTCAAGGCCAATGTATATTATATACTACAGTATATTAACATTTATTTACAATAAAAAAAAAATGGTTGGGCAAGGTACTCACACTGCTTAGATCTATGCAGGGCTGTTCAGGGATTTGTAGACTTCTTCTTACTGTGACTTTCGGTGATGCGTGCTTACGTTTCTCTTTCTTTAGACGTCCTAACAAAGTCTGATCCTTACTGGATGATGACACATCTGCGTCAGAACTGTGAAGGAAAATTAGGGATTTACTCAGAAAAGAAAAAAAAAAGATTGCTATTACACGGACCCGAGAAGGCATAAGAAATAAAGGCAGACATAGAACCACCAGAAGAATACATGAAAAAGAAAGAAATGCATTTTGATAGTGAAGGTGTGTGTAGAGTAGTTGTTCTCTGTGGCTGTATGTTGTTACCTTGTATCACGACCTCCGTTATCTTGAGCGTGAACAGCACTAGAATCTTGACCTTCATCTACTGTTGATTCAAAATCATCTGGAGGAAACTCGTCCAAACTTGCTTGCTTCCTAGAACGCAAACAAAATCAAGTATCGGGGTAATCCACGTTAGCTCTTATCATTAAAAATAAAATAAAACTGTATGTATATGGGAGTAGATATGTGAACAACAAATCTACTACCATCCATGGCAGAGCACAGATTTCATGCCAAATAATGCTACTTACATTTCAGCTTCTTGGTTCTCCTTTGTATCGGATAATTCATCCTTGTCTTCAGTACCAGGTTTAGCAAAGTCCGCAACATCATCCTTGTTATCCAACTTTTCATGCATAGTTGGCGTTGATTCATCCTTCATGACCTCCTCTGGTGCAATATCCTGACCAAGAATCGTGGCCACTTCAGCACTTGAATCTGACAGCCTCTTTTCCAGAAGTCTGGATTTTCCTCCGCCACCTGATCTTGAGCTCACTGGTGTGCCATCGTAGTCAGCAGGTGACAATGGCAGTGGCAATGAGGATGGAGTCAACAGAGATGCAGATTCCGGTGTTGGATGTAGAGACGAAGGAGTCATGGTGAGGGAACTCTCTGGAGTCATGATCCTTGTGTTATCAGAGGATGACCTGGAAATCAAGAGTTCATCAACAGAGCTGTTCATAGCAGTCACCTGCGTAAAACTACTAGTACTAGAGACACTTTCACCAACAGCAGAAATGCCATCATAAGATTGCTGGCGAGGACCCTTCATGAAGTCTTGCGGAGTCATCAACACTGGCTGACTACTAGAGCGAGTAGATTCGGAGGTGAAGGAAGCAGTAGCAGAGTTTGATGGCGTTAGATGGTGATCTCCATCCAGAGGTGCTTGTGTTTCAATTTCTCCTTGAGAGATGTCAGCATCGATGGATTGGTCCATAAAACTCATGTCAGACAAACCATCTTGTAAGGCTGTCAACAGAAACCAAGACCAGAATGAAGATATACTCTTTATAGACATATATTTTTAACTCAAATATACAACCATAAATTGCTCATTTCAAAGAACCACGCAAGTTATAGACATCTCACCTATATCATCCTGTGACAATGTGCTTATGGATCCAGATACAGATTGTACAACTGAAGACTGTGGTTGGAATCTAACTTGAAATTCTTGCAAAGACCTTAAGAAAAATGACAATTTCTAATCAAATGAAACATCGAGACATTCTTAACAAAAATAGTTATTTTCAGAACTCTCTACGTTGTACCACAACCAGGGGCGGATCCAGAATTTTTCAAATGGGGGGGGGGCCACAACAGTTTCAGAATAGGTAATTAAGAGCACACGACATTGATATGCATTGAAATTTTTAAAATTTAGTGGCAAAACAGGGGCACCCCCCCCACCCGGGTGAATAGGTAATTAAGAGCACACGACATTGATATGCATTGAAATTTTTAAAATTTAGTGGCAAAACAGGGGCACCCCCCCCACCCGGGTCCCCTGTCCCCATGATCCCCTACTGGCAATCCTACTGGAATTATTGCACAAGCAATAAGTACTGTAAAAATAATGAAAAAATATCATAATTTCATTTTTGGTATTAAAATATTGTAAAAGCCTTGCTATGTCACATATGGGGCTTGCTATCCCAAAACCAGCATTAGAAATCAAAAAATAAAAATTGACTTTGACAATATATTCATATTCTCCACATTATAGGCCTTAAAATGATGGGTCATTTACTGGAATCAGCCTACGATTGTCAAAGTTACGAGTAAAAGTATTACAGCTTCCCTGTACTAAAAGCATACAATACTGCACATTAATATGCTAATTACTCAGTTTAAAATTTAGCAACAGTACGCTGGTTTTGGGATGCAGAAACCTAAAATAACAGAATTTCTGAAGTAATGTACTTAAATTTTTATAGTAGAATTTGCTTACTTTGTGTGAACACAAAACATTTTGACGACTGTCCCAATACTACTTTCGATTTCTCCTGAAAAAAATTGACAATTTCAAAAACTGATAATATAGTTCATGATCCTGTCCTCTCACATCATCATAGAAACGCGGTCAGGGAAGCACAATCGTATGCTTTTGAATTTAATATGCAATAGGCTATATTGAGTCTGTTGATAGTGACAGATAGTAGGTATGTAGATACGGTGTTGTCAGTCCAATCAGCAATATATTCTGTGAAAATTTTAGCATGTGCAATAGTAGCACGCCCTCAGGAAGTGCGAAACGGTTTGGTTATGTTTCTCCACTGAAAGTTAAATTAACAGGAGTGGAGTTGAATAGCTTAGTGGTTAAGATGACTGCCTCTCTAATCCCAGGGTCTTGGGTTCAATTCCTGTTATAGCAGGACTTTTCCTCAAATAAAAATAACTCCCTAAGCTTTATAAAGAGACTATGATCATATTATTTCATGTATTTAAGAGGGCCCCTGAATATCAGCCAACCTAGGATACGCTGGAAGGGTCATCCTCTATAAATATGGTTTTTAACACCTTGGCTGCCAGCAACCAATATACTCGTCAACGGGTGTTGCTAAGGGTACCAGGGACGAGTATACTTAATAATACTATAATACTTATATTTATACTAAATCGGGGTAACATTCTAGCGTTTATAACTTCTTTGTTATACATTGTGGAACAACAGACTCAACGGCGGGTAGTTCGGGGAAGATACACCTAGACGATAACGTACATGTGACGTATGTATGTTTGTTTGTTGTGTTATGTTGCTGGTAGTACACTCGAGCGGCACAAGTGGTGGCACCCTTTGAACATATACCAACCCATGCAAAAAAGAGGACAAGATAACTCACACTTGGCATAGTCAATAAAACGTTCTATCACAATGCCGTTGACGAGTATACTCGCCCCCTAATATTTTCCCGCCAATTTATTAGACACATCATTTTGATGATATATGACTAGATAAAATTTCAAAAAAGTAGGTTTGTATATGTTAACTTGTTTTGGCACATGGGAAGGAACCTTCAAAAAAAGGTCTGGCAGTCAACGTGTTAAAAGAACAGTTTACCTGAAAGATACGTTTCATCGTTATTATCGTACTCGGCGGTGTGTTTGAACTTCTTCTGGCTGGCGTCGACAACAAAGAAACTGAGCATAGGTTGGGTCAGGAGGAACTCCGATATGGAGCTAATGTGGGCGGTGCCCACTTCTGCGTTCTGGTAAATTTGCAATATATACAGCACCTTATAAGAACAAAAAAAAATTGTAAATGACAGATAACACATATTATAGATGAACAATTAAAAAAAAAATCTTTAGAGCTGTTGCCGTTCGTAACTCTCTGGTTATAATTAATTCATGAAATACCGTAAAGAAGATTTGTTGTTAATATCACAAGTTAAATTTTATTAGTCAACAAAATACATTAGGTCTAGGCCTATCTCACGATTCGGAGGACCTAGAGTAGAATTTACACTAGACTAAGGCGAGAGATGGATGAAGATGCATCTGCATAGTCTTGAAACATTATATGAGTAACTGTAGCCGTGTGCAATCTATGTCTATAACTGAAATATCTTTGTGATAGCTAATTTAACACTATTCCCGTGAAGACAAAATTCCAACGTTTAAACATCTTTAAATGCCCTCTAAAGATCATAATTTTCTATTTTTTCTTATGTTTGGGAGGGGCGTGGCCCTCAGCCAATGGGCAGGCTTCCATTTTGGATGGCCTATTTCGTTTTTCTGGCTAAACCCCTGCCTACAATAATGCTTGAAAATAACTTCGTAAATTTGCAGAGAATAATATATAAAACAGAAATTAAAAAATAGATGTAAACAGCAAACAGATGTGTAAGCAAATGCCAGGCTGGTATAGGCCATTCTTACCTTTCTTTTAATATCCGACATAATTATATATGATGCAGTCAGGTCCAGCTTAGCTTTTAGGCTGGGGTAAGGCTGAGGGGTGGGACTAGAGAACACTACAGTTTGCAGACAAGTCCAAGTAACTGTACACCATATTTTTAGCTCACTGTTTTGGTTGGCACCAGTTATCAGAAATCTCCAGAAATGAACACTAAACAAGGTAAAACAAGTTTGGGTCAATAAATGCTTTAGGATCACATTTGTGAGTTTGTGGTGTGAAGGCGTCTTTGCATTATTTGTTATTCACTGGAAATAAGCCCCTCTCATGGGTTAGGTTCTACTGTCAAAAATGTAATAATTTCTATAATGTCAGTACCTACCACTAGTGGTGCTCATTGTGTTATAAATTATTTAAAAAATTCAGACAAAGATATGTTTAAAAATAATTATTGAAATTGACAAGATTGGGAAAGGAATAATGGTCCTGAGTTTTTACAGCCCCTACAACACATACATATGTTTTTTTCTCCAGTGAATGAACCAAACCAAACTTACTTTGGATCTTGGAACTTATGATTGTCACAGAATAAGATGGTGGATATGGCTTTGCCATTGTGAGGAACCCACTGGTGAAGCCTCCGCGGTGGGTCATTGCCTTCCCAGTAGATCTGCCAGAACTTGACACTACCGTCAGCACTAGCTGTTGCCAAGACCGACGCATCTGGCGCTATTGCAATATCGCTGATTGGCTATAAGAAAACCAAAGCGTTAAAGATTTATTGGTGTCGAGAAGTAATCTGTCCTCTTTGGCCTTATTATTTTAATCAATTTTGGAATAGTAAGTTAATAAAGGATATAAAGTTTGAGTCCCAACACATCCATTGAAAAAATTAAGTCTTTAGAATTGAATGTATAATATGGTTAGAAAAAAAAGGGTCAGAAACAAATTGTTACTGCATTGCACTTACTAGTACTAGTGGTAGTAATAATAGAAGTAGCCAGGGTTTGGTTGTAGCATGGTGGTAATGCACTTTTTTGTTTCTTTTTCTGGTGCTTTTTAGAGTCAAAAAGAATATAATGTGACTAACCTTGGAGTGTCCGTCCAGCACCCTTATTACTCCTTCTGTGACATCAGATACAGGTTTTGGCTCTTTTCCAAACTTTTCGGCTATCAGATCTATATCCCAGACTTCGGCCTGAAAATTAAATATATTAGTAATAATAATAATAAATAATAATAATTATATAATAATAATAATAATTAATTAATAATTAATACTACTAATAATAAATTTCAAAAATAACAATAATCAACAATTATTGTTACTGTACAAGATAGTCCTTTTACTAAAGTCAAGTCAAGTCACCATAATCATTACTTTTGAAGATTATACCTACAATGTTATCATGGGTCACAGCTAGGATTCTACCGCCCTCTTCATTTGAGACTGTGGAACCGGTTTCACTGGGAGCTTCAGGAATGTAAGGGCACCATACAACTCGGTGGAAATCACTACTAATATTATTTCCATCTTGGGTTAAATTCACCTTAAGCTCAAACCTACAATCTATGTTAAGTAACTTAACCAAGTAGAAGTTTACACCATCCACAATAACTTTAAACTCCTTAAAAATGCATGATTATGAATATACAGGTCCAACTCCAGTTAACGACCACTTCTGGGACCAGGCTTTCCATAGTCTTTAGCAGGTGTGGTCAAAGAGTATAGAACTGTAAGATGTTCAACACTCAGCGTTTCATTGAAACGCAATCCTATCTCAAAAAGTACTACCACAAACTAGAGGGCGCACTTCAAAGAACATAAAAAGTGTTCATATCAATCACATTCTGCGTCAATAGAACACATGTGGGAGTTTCTAACTCTATTTGTATTCTAATAGTGGTAGTACTTTGTTTTTCGTTTCATTGCATGCATGCAAGTCAAACTTCTTGCAATTCTATAGTACTGTATTTACTTTGGTCTCTAATTACAAAAAAAAAAAACTACCACAAACTAGAGGGCGCACTTCAAAAGAACATAAAAGTGTTCATATCAATCACATTCTGCGTTAATAGAACACATGTGGGAGTTTCCAACTCTATTTGTATTCGAAATAGTGGTAGTACTTTGTTTTTTGTTTCATTGCGTGCATACAAGTCAAACCTCTTGCAGTTTTATAGTATTTACTTTGGTCTCTAATTAGAAAAAAAAAATTAATTAATTAATTTGTTAATTTGGGACTACAGAAAAGTGGTCTTTAACTGGAGGTGGTCTTTAATTAGAGGGAGAACTGTAAAATTTTCCTGAATGGTCCACTAAGGAACTACGGTAATTAAACTTGACATTGTAAATTAATTTTAAAGGATACTCTAATTTGTCGTTAACATCTTGTAATTCATACACAGTAAGGTTGCCCAGCTTGTCAATGCAAGCTAATACATTTGAACTGGTATGCGCAAAAGCTAGATCTGAGACTACGCCAGTGAATCCCTTGATCAAGGCTCGGGTTGAGGTTTTCCTATTTAAAATACGAACACCATAGCCGGAGGTAACTGAGAAAAAATAAAGAAAACATAAAGGAAATATAATATTCATAACAACAATTAATAATACAAATATTTCAATTTGGTTATTAAAGTAGAACCGTTTCCTTTTTAAGGGGACACACCTATTAAGGGAACATTACCTATTAAGGGAACACCCCTATAAGGGGATGCTTTTATTGGTCCTGAAGGTGTCCCCTTAATAGGGGTTTTACTGTATTCTGCAGGGATCAATTCTAGTATGCACATACCCACTGGTTACCTTTCCTTCTTTTAATGCAGATCCTTAATTTCCTTAATGATTCCTAATCAAAATACTATTAATAAACACCATAATTATAATAGGTTTAGATGAATTAAGCTTGAAGGGAAATATAAATTGAGTAAAAGTAATTTCATGCTTCAACGGTTTTGAAAAAGGAAGTACACGAAAAACAGGACGTAAAATGAGACAAACAGACAACAAATATATGCAACCAGAAAATACAGGAAAATACAAAATCGGTTGTCACATAATTGCTTGAATTGAAATAAATGACTATGATGACAACCAACCTATTGAGGTGCAGACAGAAATATAAAAATACTACTCCATTAGTACAATTAAAAACTGAAACCAAATATGGGGATAACTAACTACAGAAAAGCAACTTATAAATTTAGTTGTAAAATTCAGTTTTCTGAATTAATATAAAACACTGCCCTCTGGAGGTGAGAGATAAAGGGAAACCAACAAAGAACAAGAGTACAACGACCTCAGGAAGTCAAGTAAGGGAAAGTAATAAAGATGGATGGGAAATGCCAATCAATCACTAGTTAATAAACTAATATAAACAATACACGTTATGACACACATAAACATGACATTTTATTGATGCGGCAAGAATTTATTATACCTTGTTTACAGTGGCGTAACAAAGAGGCTCTAGCCGCTGGGCTAAGGCTTCTTTGGGCCATACTAACTAACACACAGTTACACATGAAATAGCAACAGAATAATATACACATTGATGTGAAGCAGATTGAATCTTGTAACTTACTCAATAGCATATATGCTACATAATTACTGCTGACTGCAATGAGGTTTCCTATGTAATACTTATGCTCCCAGTCATAGTTCACTACAGGTGTTATCTTTACCTGCGGAATAAAACAAACATAGAAACATCGCCATCTATAGGTTTCATATAATTTTTTTAAATAACTAATAGAAAATAGCCACATCCACCCTTGCTGATAGGCAATTTAAAGGGCGGCACACACCAGTTTGGCCGAACGTCGAATAAATTTCAGCTCTGAATTCGAGCTTGATAATGCTACACTGTCTGTTGATTGTCGGTGGCAATCTAAGGTAAACCGACATGGTGTGCCCGCATCAAAACCTTGCAGTTACAATGGAATTGCACCGATAACCTTTGGCCAATGCAGAGTGTGCCTAGCTCACCTTGCTACTTCCAGGTGTATTCACATCTATTGCGGAGTTGTCGCTTGACACGATCTGTACATCTCTACCGTAGACTGGGCAAGAATCACATGCGTCTTCACCGCTCAAGTGTCTAAACCAATCAGAAGAAGGTTATTACAATTATGTATATTACATGATAAAATGTTCCACCAAGTAGGCAATATTGAGTGTCTAAGTAATTCCTTAAAGATTTAATAAAACAAGAATTTATACAAGAATACATCAAGGTTTATCAATCTTTTATATTCAATCAATTGTCGTAGGGGGAAACAGTCCAGGGAAAAAATGTCATGGGGAAAATGTCCAGGGGGGGAAGTGTCCGGGGAGAAAATGTCAAGGGGCAACCAGCCTATATCCCATTATTATATAACAACAATACAAAATATAAATAACATATATAATATGTAGGTGAAATTCAATTGATGAAACTGACATAGAGGAGTATCCGTGTACTAGCAATTAAAGGAATATAATAATTCTTCTTACATTTGCTGTTTAGTGTTCACAAGAGGAGTTGAATCCAAGAGCGAAGCGTCCCCTCCACCGTTGGAAGCCTGTCAATTAGAGAACAATCAAACATAATCAAATTAAAAAATCATCCACAGAATACCATGTTCTTAACCTTTGTATAACTAGGATATGGTCTGCTTGGTGGGGGATGGGAGATGCACAAATAATGGAAAATTGATTGAGCATAAACAATCACATTTTTAGAAAAGGAATATCTCTGTCAACACATTATTAATAGTCAATTTGAAATTCAGTCAGGAAAACTTGATAGTTATGTAAACTAAAGTGCAACACTGACATGGAAAATATCAGTATGTTTTGGTTTTTTACTAGTTTTACAAGTGCAATGACCTATAATGTACTATGTGGTTTCCACAGAACTTACCATGTTTTCAATTTGCAAATTATCTTGTTCTCTAAAATATATAATAAATTGAATCATCAGCAAAAAATATATTAGAAATAACAACAGAACTATTATAAAAACTTCATTAAGTTATTGTTCAAAATTCAAACATAAATGGATCAGTGTGCACCAATTTATCTTGCATTCATGTGCAGCGTATCTTAAAGTTTTGTTTTTTTTTATAATTTGTTTCTTACTTGTAATGATCTTCAAATTGGTTTTTGTTTTCTGTTTTTGATGCTCTTACATCTGAAATAAAACAATAACAAGGTTTATAATAGAATCACACTGACAGTAATAATCTTCTGTGCAAACTCAAGACTGTACTAGTAGCCTACATTAACATTGCAGCTTCCTTTAAAAGTTCATTTCTTTGTTTACCAATAGTAATAAAAAATTTTGGAAAACAAACATCGAAAATGCTGTCTATGATATATCATAGACAGCATATCATACCATACCATAATGCCACTCCTTTCAATCAACCACCAAATTTGGTTGCCAGCAAATAATAATAATATAAATTTTCATGCAAGTTTAAGTATGTAATTCTTAAACCCTTCTAATGTATTAATGACTAAAAATTATGTGTTATGAAATTTTATTCCTCATGATGACATCATCATTAATGTCGAAATATTGAATCCCAACACAATGGCGTATACGTATTTCAATACTTGGAGTATGTATTATACCTCATCTGAGATTAATCAGTGGACCTTCCGGTTTATGAAATTTAATTTCCAAAAGGAATCTAAAAAAAGATGATGTCAGTTTATCAAAGTTTTCAGACTGTCCAAGATATGTAAATTTATAGTAGGAATCTCCCAATTTTCTTTCACATTTTTGCAGTTTTTTTTTTCTTTCCTTAAAAATCTACTGATAAACTCAAATTAAATAACTTAACATGATTTATGAATCATAATGTAATAATAAGAAAATGTTTGTAAACATGGCATTCTCCAAACAGAAGTGTCTGTCATACCTAACTTGGACAGTCTGATCAGATTAGTCTGTATTTTCTTAAATGGTGCTAACCTCCTCCTGCCGAGATCAGGGAGATCGCTTCCAAGCAATTATGAATCAAAGTCAACAACGATATCATTCAATTATTTCTTCATTATTTTGCCTTAATTTATCATCTTTAAAACAGATTCTAAACTCTCATGTGTGTTGTACAGAACACGTTGAACGATATGAAACCGATGGTAGGCTAGGCCTAGCCTCGTTGTTTTGTTTTTGGGGAATTTCCAAATGAATCAAGAAAAACTGTACGGAAGTAATAATTATATTAACCTGACCCACGAGAGCATCTAACCAATGGAACGGTGAGATAATTCCATCCGAAAATAACAATATTAAATGAAGATGTCAGTTTTTAAATTGTGATGAAACTAGGCCTATCACCTAGGCCCTGGCCTTCCCTACTGTTTTCAAAGTGCACCTCGTGTCGTGAATCAGGCCCCTAGAACAACTTTGTGCTGCATGCTTGCAGCATCTTCGATTTCGCTCGCTCCCGGCCGATGAACGCCGATCGCATGTTTATGGTAAATATCTCTCATTTTACATATACACATTTAATTATTATTAATTTACTATTTCCTATACAAAAATATTTTATTTGCTATTTTAAAATATAATTTAATTATTTATTATTAAAATAAATTTGTAACGTGTATTTTATTAGAAAGTGTATACATTAATAATGCTTTTAATGATCGAGTCTAATATGGCGGCCTACTTTGTCGGAACGAAAAAACAACAACAGAACTGGATCAGGATGGGCTCATGGAGAAGTACGGAATGATGAAGCGAAAGGTACTAAATACAATTGCAATTATTCTGCAATACATAAAAAAATTATGGAATTAGTATGTTACCATAGCTCAAAATCTAGCTTAGCTATACACAACAAACAACAAACCTTTTTCGATCCTGGCTAGCCTACCTGGCACGCGGGTCACGACTCACGGTTGGTGTCGGGAATTCGGTGTCGGTAGACTCGCACCTAACCTAGGCCTAGCCAAACCTCGCTGTTCGAGACAAGATCCCCTGTGAGTTCAGGCCAGACCGACTACCCAAAGTATCCTAAAGATAGGAGAATTTAAATGTTTACATTAAACAATGTCATACTTAGTTAGAATGCAAATTAAACTCTTTTTGTACAATTTTTTGTTCCGTTTATATGCCTGTTAATATTTACGAGTCTTGGTTTCTATGTTATGGCGACTTTGGTCTCATCCAATCTTATATATTACAATTTTTTTTTGATAATTTCGAATAATTGAAATTGAATTGATTGAATTAATATTAAATGGGTTACCATGCTAGGTCGAAGCAAATGGATGTGTTTTTTTTATGTTGAACACATTGCATTGTTTTTGTCTATAATTTTGCATGATGGGACAGAAAAGAATTTTTGAGGGAATTTCAAAAAGATAATTTATAGGAGAAATATTAAGTGCTATGCAAAACACTATCTAACCTTATACAAAAATATGTTTTTTTAACATTTCATTTGCATTGTTTTAATTATTGCAGAGGACTGATTTCATTAACAATTATAGAAGTAAACAAACTTGTTCAACTGTGGACCAAAGGGAATCAGATTGGGATCGATGTCAAGATGGGTTTGACAGAGTCATCATAAGTCAGGCTCAGAAGTCTTCCTCAACTAAAGTTCTCAGCAATAGCAATAAGAAGTCAAAAGGTAATAAACATTAACAATTTCCTTTTAACTATACAGTATTAGAATTCTGTATATTTAAATGTACAGGTATATTGGAGAAATAACCTTTCAAACACTTAAATTTGATAGAAATGAACTTCTTCACTATTAAAAAAAATATACATTCTTAAGTTCCTAAAGATCTAGATGGATGTAAATTGATTGAACAAAACAAAAGTAGGTAACAAAATGTGGATATTTGAGGTAAAAATTCTTGACTTATAATTATTATTATTATTGTTGTTATTACTGTATATCATGATTCATACTAACAAATTGTTACCCTGTACTTTTTTTTATCGTAGCCAAGTTACTCTCATTTGAGAAAGTTGCCAGCCAAGATGATAACGTTAATATTACTTGGAGCTCAAGTAGTGATGATGATGATGATGACATACGGCCTCTAGTATTTGAATCTCCGGACACCAGTCCCGAACCAAAGAAGAAATTAATTAGACCTTCTATCAATAGCACAGTCTTAAAAGATGGCACTTCTAACACACATGGATTTGGTCTCGCTACTAAGCAGCTCATTTCACTATCCCAAAACCACAATTCTGAGGTAATTATTTTTTTTGAAAACTAATAATAAAGTTGAAGGAATGATTTATATTTTTTTTTAATTTGCTTACTCTATACACTTATGTAAGTTATTTAGCTTTCAAACAGATCGAGAAAGTGTACTTCAAAAGTTTGACCATAGACACTTGGTACATAGAATTTAAACTTTTCTCTCTTTTTTCCCTTTCTTTTCTGAGAAAGGGTGCTATCAAGCCATTCTGAATCTTCAAATAAACAATTGTAATTAATAAATAACTGATTCACTTTTCATGTAGGGTTCAGAATTTTTAATATCAGATTACGAATCAGCATCTGATGAGGAAGATGATGATGACGATGATGGAAATAAAGATCAGAGCACGCAACAGGTAACTGTAAGATATATGATACTACAATAAAGATGATGATTTTGTTAATGATGATAAATCATCACCACTATTAATTGATGATTTTAAATTGATAATGATGATGATCAATCAATGATTAATCAATTATTATATAATATATATATGATTGATTATAATCATTGATAATAATATTTGATTATTGATGATAATCATTAAAATTTATGTTATTGATGATAATAATAATTATGGTAATAATAATAAGTGATAATCGTAATTGATGATAATGTTTCAGTGGCGGATTTAGAGGGGGCTGGCTCCGGTTTCACCTTTTGGAAAGTTAAAAAACAACAGTAGGAAGGAAAAAGAGATAATTGATCGCCCAAAACGCCTCAGAGATTATTTTTCGGGCGTCTAGAAAACATATATTTCACGGGGGGAAGCCCCCGGACCCCCTATAGTAATGTTGTCTCTATTGGGCCCCACTTTCAGCCCTCACTTTCGGACACCTTTCGGACATCTCTAGATCTGCCCCTGTGTTTAGTTAAATAATAAGTGAGATACATTCATTCTTTATTGTTTATTATTTCATTCTTTTTGAGTATATGAAAATGTATATACAACATCATTTGCCTACAATACAAATAGTATCATTATTTTTTGTGTTTTATCCTTTCCATAGATGTCCGATTCATACAGCATATCTTCCATGTCATCGTCACAAATTTCAAACTCCTTGCCCTCCATTATAGACAATAAGAATGCGAGCCCAAGAAAAGGATCAAATCTTCTGAATATGTTAAAACAACAAATGAAATCTCCTGAAACTACTGAAGAAGACAACCCCTTAGACTCAGCCAAGAAGAAAAGTAAATTTATCAGGTAAGAAATAAAGGCATAACAATAGGACAAATAAGTAGTACTAGGCCTAAGTAGGGCAGAAAGCACAATAGTTAATATTATGATATTACTACTAGTGCTAATGATACTGTAATTTTTATTATATTTTGTCTACTTCGTGAAGTGAATAATGCCTGGGTAAACTGACTAAACATTGCATATTTATTTTACTTTTATCTCCACTGAGTCAGATACCTATAAATATTAAGAAATGAATGTATAGTTTTGAGGGCTTTGTTGGAAAATGGTGACCCAGCATAGCCATTACTGCATGAAAAATTTGCCTGAAGGTCCAATAGATTTTTTTTAGGAATGAATTCACCTAAACCTAATCCATATTTCTATAGAACTTTGATATTTATTTTGTATCTTCTTGCATATCCCCTGTGGTACCTCCTGTGGCCTCATCAACGTTTTCTATTCATTTTTATTAGCAGTTTCCATAGAAACATGGGACAATCCATTATGAGGAATAACTTCTACTATTCAATCTTATTTTTTAGAGGCGGTCTTGCTGACAGATTGCAGAAACTGATTTCTAGAGAAAGGTCTTCAATAGCCATGTGGAAACACCGAATGCAGGATTTAAAGAACGATGGTAGGCAATTATGTAAAGCAAACTGTTCCTAAATTCTGTGGCATTCCCAAATACAGTACTTATGTGATTCTTGACCAATCAGTTATTATAATATTAAAATTACTTTTTCCAAAAAATGTATGGTAGCAGACTGTGCCATAGAAAGGCAATGAGGTGAGAAGCTCAGATTTTGTTTTATATAATAATAATAATCTTTATTTATTCACGAGACTCTTTCACCCTGTGGTTGTTTTTACAAAAGTCAGTGAGGTACATAAATACAATTATATAAAACTTATAAAACTAAACTAAGATACTCCTTAACAATACAGAACTAAGGCACTACTCACTTAGCTATTCTGAAAATGCCCCCCCCCCCCGCAGAGGGCGCTAGGGATTACTATACTCGTTAAAATCAGGGTAACATTCTAGCGTTAATTACTTCATCGTTATACATTGTAGAACTACCGACTTAACAGCTGATAGTTCGAGGAAAATACACCTAGGCGATAACATACAAATAACGTATGTATGCTTTTTGTGTTATGCTGCCGGCAGTACACTCAATTGCAAGAGTGGGGGCGCCCTCTGAACATATACTAACCCATGCCAAAAGCGGATGAGAAAACTTGCATTTTGCAGAGGCAATAACAATTTCTGTCCCATTTGCCAAGGACGAGTTTACTCGTCCCCTAATATTTTCCCGCCAGTTTATCAGACACACCATTTTGATGATGCATGACTAAATGGAAAGGAACCTAATAAAAGGTCTTTCAGTCAACGTGTTAACAAATTCAACTAAAAACAAAAAGAAGCTCATACATCACTTTTTGTGTCAGTTTTTTTTTTATAGTGGAAATATTATCCAGTGCCCAGTTTAATTGATACATTTCCGATCAGTATTTATACACAAGGAAATAAAAAAGAAAAATTTGTTACTGAAATTACTAATTTTGATGAAGTTTTCTTCACTTATTTTATTATTTTATTGTTAATCTGGGTGACGTTCGTGTCTGTTAAAATTTGAAAATTCTCCATATTACTATTCAGATAGTTTAAAGAACGTTTCGGGTCATTTTCGGCATTTGAAAACTTTCCATAATTTACCCGCCGTACCTTCATTTCCACGCACACAGCACATACTAAAGCTGGAAATTACGCGTTGTTACATATTTTGTGTTCCTGACAGAGTCAGGAGTCACTCTTTGTGACATTTACGTGCTCACGGGCGTCAAGACATGCGTGTACGCATGCGTAAGTCTTTTAAAATGCTCAAAATTATTCTTTTTTTTAAAACTAATTACAGCATATGTTAGCATATTATGAAACTTTTCAATCAGCACCGCGCGCGCTTCCTGAGGGTCAAAGTACGGCGGATCACTGAATTCGTCCTCAGTGACGAGTTCAAATCTAGTTATTACTTAGTATTCTTCAAAAGTACTGTAAAATTTGTAAATGGTTTATTTGAAAAAATATATTACATATTATGAAATGCCTCGAGGCTCTATTTTAAGGAAGAAACAAATGAAAAGGTAAAAAAAGTTTGATTTTTCGGGGATAACCCAATATTTAAGTTAAGACAATAAAGTTGCACCTTGAACTTAAACCTACTTATATTAGATGGGACATCCAAGTTAGAATTAGTCCTAAATAGTTAGAATTAGTCCTAAATAGTTTTGATGATATGTGGTGTATGTAAGGTAAGTTGGATTTCCTGTTTGTGTGTTTCACCTACTTGATTCCATTTAAGGAAGTATTAAAAATGTACAGAAACATAGGAAATGACACTTAATAATTGAAGGTTTCCAATGCACGTGCTCTTTGAGGGAATTTTTATGAGCATTCAGAAGGTTAGAATTATCATTTGAATCTCAACAAATTTATTCACTCAGGTGACAACTTCACTCAAAAACAAAAAACTTCTCTAAAAAACATATCTCATTTCCTTGAATAATATTTTCACTTATTTACATACGATATTCCCACTTCTCAAATATAATTTATAGTACACATCCACACTGCCCCTCTCCCAAAAAATGAATATTAAAACAGTTCTAATCCCTGAACAATCATTTTGTTCCCTAAACAGTTACTCCTCCTTAATAGTAGATGTGTACTACTATTAAATATAGATTTAAGTTTCCAACAATGCTTAGTTAATAGTATTCCATTCCCTAGGCAAAAGCTTCACAGATAACAATTCTATGTCCGACTTGGCAAATGCCCATGTTGAGCGACTCTCCCATGTGCAACAGTTACACTCACACCTTGGTAAAAATTGCTACTCTCCCAGACAATAGCCTCACTCCCCCAGTCAACAACACAGCCACCCACAGGAAGCAACAACTTCACTCCCTAAAATGACAATTCCACCATACATAACAATTAATAAAAGTAATCTTGAAGAAGCATGTTAGGATTTTTTTTCCCTTCCTCATGTTTTTCCAAAGAGGAAGGGTAATGATTATACAAATCAACAGACTTAACAGATAGCTACATGACTCATATTTCCCCAATTGTAATTTGGTCTTGTCTAGACACTTGGGGATTAATCACCTAGGATGCTTATTATGAGGTGAACTTCAACTTCGAAAATAAATTTCTGTCTTGTACAAATTTACTGATTTGCCAAAATTATATTCAACTAATAAACCTTGGAAAAATATTAATTATCTGATTTGCTTACTTTTGAACTTGGCAGTGGTATATATTAAAACTTACTTTCCTCACTAATTGAAATGTAAATTTTGTTTTGTACACATTGTTTTGTCTTGTACAAATTTACTGATATATCAAAATTCTGTTTAACTAATGAACTTGGAATAGTATTCAATAACTGAATTGCTAACTTTGGTGCATGATAATCTTGTTTATTGAAAGTTACTGTCCTTGCTAAATAATAAGTAAATTTTGTTTGAGAAAGATATGAATCAGTTGTACAACATATCAATTTTTGTTTTCCTCTAGAGCCTGACGTTAGGTTTTTGTTTTAGTCATTGTAAAAAATCACCTATTATTGGTCGGATTTGAACCAAGGATTCTGGAATTACAAGTTAAGCATTCGAACCACCAAATGAAACCTCAACTCTTATTATTTACTATATTATTTTATTTGTCGTTTAGTTACCACCCAAGCCAGCAGCAAGGCTGTTACAGTTAGCCTGCAGAAAGTGCAATTTCACCATGGACTCTATGTTTGCGAATGTCTAGATGTTTCAAACAATGAAGATACCAAACAGAGCAGACTTCACGTCTTATTCTCAACATCAACTGCAAAACAATGTCACATTGCTCAAGGGTCCATTGTAACTATATATCCTCCATGGTAAGACTGGGAAGGAAGATTAAAAGGAAATAGATAATAAGTATTTAAAGTGAAACAAATAAATCAAATGTTTTCAGGATTTTATCTGTGGTGAAGTCTGAAGAACCCTCAAAATTCAATGATAACATTGAATTACTCATTTATAAGTGGAAGATAATTTTTTGCTGAATTACAAACTTTTACTTCCAGCATATTAAAGGGATCAGTACAAAGAAAATGGACTTAGTATTGCTATTGTACTTAAGTGTACAAAGTAGTAATTCCAAAAATTATTGTTCTTAGTTACTAACTCAAAGATGGACACTATTTTCTAGTGGCTATATGAATAGTTTGTATCTATTTCATAATCAGAAAAAAAACAGATTATTAAAAATTCAGAAACACTTGCCAAAATCTGGTCATTGGTTTAATCTTAATCAAATACTAATAAAAAAAATAATAATGTTAAAAAGTAAGTAATAATAAACAAAAGTAAGTAATAATAAACAAAGGTAGGTAATAATAAATAATAAATCTTGTTAAATCTAAAAGTATAAATAAAAATTAAAATGACTTCAAAATAGAATAAAGGAAATACAACGTAATTAATTGTTTATGTCATTGAAATGTTAATTTTGACACATACTGTATTTTATTTGTTTTTGTAATTTTTAGGCAACGCTTAAACTTACCATCATACACTGAACCAGTTCTATTGTGCACCCATTACTGTCGGTTGGTGGGGCAAGAAACAGAAGCTGAAACACAAGCACATACTTCACACCAGGTAAGTAACTACTATATTATATGCAACATGGGGGTAGGGAAAGAAGTTAGGAGGGATCAAAGTCTGTCATTTTGAAAAATTTGTCTCCGGAACCTGCATAGTAGAAAGCAAATATGCTTCTTAATAAAATGTTGTTTTTTTTTATTTAAAGACTACAAGAAAAAAGATGTTGTTTGATTCCTTGCCGTCTGTTGATTCAGTGATGGCTCGACCCATTTTAGAAGAAGTTAGCATTCAAGAAGTTAGGCCCATCATTGTTGAAGATGAGGTCTCTGACTCCATATTGGACAGCATTGCGGACAGTGGTCATAGTCTTCATGGCATGTACATCAGAGCAACGGTGCAACGAGTTTGCAGATACAACATCAACCAGAATGAACAGTAATTAATTTTTTAAATCCAAAAATCTTAAGATAGTTTTAATTGTTTCAGTGCTTAGTCCTGTATATACTTACATAGTAATGGATAATCTTCAACAATAAATTAAAACATTGATAGCTAAATTAAATAGATCTAGTAAGTTAATAACTAACAACAATACATAGATAAACAAAACTTTTGCAGATACAGTATATAGTGTTTTTACCATAAAAATCTTTGAATTGTCTGTTTACGTATTTTTGCAAATAATATGTAAACATATTATGTATGTCCATTAATTGTTGAGGGAAACACTTGCATTCTAATCTTTGTTATTATTATCTGATCATTATCATTATCATCAACATCACCATCATTCTCAGCATCATCATCATTATTACCATCGTTATTATCATTAGTATCAGCAGAACCAGCAGTATCATGATAATTGTATACTGTCATAATCATCCTAATCATCATCATCATTTTTATAAGTTATCAATCATCAACATTTTTTGCTTCATCACCATCTCTCCCTTTGCCAGATAATAATTCTTGCATTTTATATTTCAGACTCAATAATATAGTAAAGACAATTCAGCGGTGGTCTCTGTTACTGCAAGATATCAGGGGAGTATTCTGTGAGGTTCAGTTACCAGATGGTTGCCATGGTGAAGATACTTGGAAGCAGTGCTTTGATGGTGAAGGCAAGACATTTATTTTTAAGGGAGCAAAAGTGTCGCAAAGAACAAATCGTTCAAGGTAAGAAAAGCTTCAGACTTCATATTGTATTACCTTAAGCGTTGTCCACACTATCAAATTTAATGTGACAAATATTGTGATATGCCCATATTTGGGTGTAATATGACATCATGATGCCCATATATGGGCATAGCACACAAATTTGTCAGATAAAATTTAATAGTGGGACAGAGCTTAACCCCTGTCCAGACTATCAAATTTTATTTGACAAAAACATGTGACATACTTAAATATGGTCATGATGACATCACAGCATGACCATATATAGGCACATCATGGCCATATATAGGCATATCATGACTATATATGGGCATACAACAGTTGTTTTGTCAAAGAAAATTTGATAGTGTGGACAGAGATTTAAATGATACTTGGCAATGAACAAATCTCAATTAAGATGTACTGTAACCGTGATGAGATTATTGGTCTATAACCTTAATATAATAAGAAAGGCAACATTATTTAACAGGAATCAAATGTAACAGAATGTGTATTAAGGAAGCAATACAAATTAGAAAAGACAAAGCACAATGAAGAGTGGGCAAAGGGGAATAGATCTCATACACATATTGTAATGATTTTACTTGGGATCCCAAGCCACAATAGGCTTGATGATCGTCTGTTGCCAATATCAGTCGATCGAGTTATAGTTCATTCAACTCAATATTTTCATAAGTTGAAAAATTGTCTAGATTAACCATAAACTGACCTGAATGAGTCTTTGTTATGTATTATCAATTCTTGAATTAACTCAGATAAATAATTTGTTATTACTTTATAGTGATATGTATAAGAAGCAGATTGAATTTTTCAAATTTGGTATTGAAATGTTTGTATTTATTGTAGGTCTGTTAGGTTATTCAGTATGTTGGATTCAATGTGGCCCCCTAGTGATGAAATTCTTGCCAGATTTAACAGCCAATCAGAGGTGAGGTCTAAAAATCAGACATTGTAAACCCTTAATACTACCTACCACTACACTAGATTTTACCTAATTGGGGGGTGGGGGGTGTTGGCTTATAGAATCTTTAAAATCTTTATTTACTTGTATATGACAACAACAAAAAATTCCTGATATAAGGGCCGGGTACTTTGTAGGCAGAAACCTTTAAGGGGACCCAAAAAGTACAAATAACTATACTTGTTGTGGGCTTATGCCGAAAATAATTAGTCTATCTTACCCAAAACTTATGACATTATTGAAAGCTGAATATGGGATTGATGTTACAGTGGAATGTCTTGATGACCTGTTTAGGAAATACAGTGGTTAAGTGCGTTTCCTTCAGACATCTGGACCAAATCCAAGTTCTCAGAAACCGGCATGCCAAGTGACAATGTGCAGCGTGGGTTTAGAGAAGTTTAATTCTATGTGATGCTTCCTTCATTTATGCCAGATTCCTAAATGTCTTTCCATTACTGCTAACTTACCTCAAAATTCACCATTAATTGACCCTACTTACTAATGATACATATAAACACATGGGGAAGCCAAAAATACATGAATTGTAAGAATTATTTGGGTTGGGGGGAGGGGGTTTATAAACTTAAGGGGATGGAGAATCATATATTCTATAACAGTAACCTCCACAGTGATTTAGGAGGATCAAAAAAAAGTTTAGGATCAAAGTAATTTAGAATTTGAAAATTAAAACTAGCAAAGCAAACAACTGTAGTGACTAACTGTGATTGTAATGTAAATTTTAATGGCTCAAATAAAAGCCTTTCTAAAGGAATTTCATCTTGATGTTGTTTCAGAGTTCACAGCGAATCAATTCATTACCAGCTCCTAACTTCTGCTATATATTGACTATTGAAAGTCAACAGGGGTCACTGAAGATGAGTAAGAAACAACATACTATCTATAAACCTACAGCAATATGCAAGCTAAAACGTACAGGGGTAAGTATCAATCAGAGTATTATGAGATACAATTTTCATTTCATAATTATAAAAGACTACATTCATCATTTTATGCACAATCATTAACTATTATGATGTAAAACTGCCATTTCTTTAAACGTTCATTTGATTGGTAAGGCTAGACTTTTTTTATACCTTGTTTCACAAACTTATGTTTTTTAAAGATCGTCAGAGGATTGCGGAAAAAAAAATTTTTGTTTTCTTATTTAGCAAATAGTTTTGCAAAAAAATCAAGACGGAGTTGAAAATAGAAATAAAATTTTACTGGAGAATGTTAACAGTGTAGTAATTGGGATGTTTAGAAGCTTGAAATTTATATAATTAGGAAGAAATACATACATTATTTTTTGAGATTTCAAGGCAGTGGCAAACAATAAAAAAAAAAGAAAAACTTTTATTTTTTCTTATTTCAATTTTTTCGTGGCGACTGGTGCTCTAATTGGCCAATAATTAAATTAAATTTTTATTTGAAATCATCATTATTGGTGTGTGGTAGGTTTGCTAAACAAGGTGTAAATAAAGTCCTGCCTTATAATAAAAGGATAGATATTTATCAATAAATCATGGTTATTTTACAGAATTGGGCAACAAGAATTAGCATATATGCAAAGGTGGTTCATGTTACACCTGCATCAACAGATAGGCAGGTGTTGAAAAGGATATCCATAACTGATGTGTCACTTCAAGATGGTTGTCAAGGGAAGGTGAACGGTGACAGTTCAGAGCACAAAGCATGTGATGTGACCTGCTTTGCATACAGGTGTCTGTTGGTGGAACCATCATGTGTTGTGGAAACTGACCTGACCACTAGTCATATGTTACTATTTAAGGATATCTTTGTAGAAAATGGTATGTCTTAAAGAAGATAAATTAAAGCAATCAGTCATTTAGTTAATTAAATTAAGCATTTATTTTGTGCCTTTTCGTATCGATTGTAGTGGAATGTTGTCTTCGTAGTGAATCAAACTTTATAGTACTCTTAAGTTATAGGATAATTATCGGATAATTCTGTTGCAATGTATTAACCCCATCTCCGCAGTTATATTATCAGACAGTTATTAGGTAATTATATAATAGGTAGAGCTGTGTTAGGCTGGTAGATGTATGAAATAACAACACTGGTAGCACTTTATAGACTAAATTCTATTATACCATATGCTGCTGGCTCCATCTGGTGTACTGCATGGCAAAAGATTGTGTATTAGACTGCTGGTAAATAATAGTATGTCGGTCTTATATAGCGCTTCATGCCAAAAGCCTCTAAGCCCTTCATATTATTACCCCTTTCATTGGATCAAACACGTATGAAACACATACTCAGTGCATTTGTGTTCGTTCGAACCAACCAGATACGCGCTTGTACCCCTGGGTGGAGAGAGTCAAACGTTCTCGAACTCCCGATCTCACGATCAGAAGTCCAACTGCTTACACGCTGTGCCACACGCTTAACAATAGTTTGTGTATGAAATAATTGTTAGTTTATAAATTGTTTAATAATTGTTTTTATTGGATAATTATTGTATAAGAATTACAGCGATATTATAAATATAGCAAATATGCCCTTTTAAACATTTTTTAGATGGTTCTATGCATGCGGACAACTATAGCAGAATGCTGAAGGTGGATAAACCTCAGATGCATGAAGAACTTAAGCACATAAGTGTCCACCTGTGCCCTCTAGAGGTCAACTCCAATCAGCATGACCTTGTGTCAGTACAAGGTAACATATCAATATTTCACTCAATATTTGTGTTCATAAAGATCACAGTTGAAGTTGTTGAAGTTTATATTAGTTTAATCTTCGAGAGATTAAGGGTACTTCAGTTACAGCCAATATTGATTTTAGTGTACATACTTAAAGCCAAGTCGAAAAATAACTTGTTTCTTGTTTATGTGTTCTTCAGTTTTTGCTGCTGTCTATAATTTTTTAAAGTAAATTTTATTAATTTTTGGTTTAAAAAATTGCAATCCTACTTAATCACTTGAATAGACTATTACTAATTGTGGTAATTTCTGTATTCTTAAATTTTGGCCTTCGTAGACCAGATTTGTGTTACCAGCATTAATTTGTAAAATTGACACACAGAAATGCTTCCTTCTTTTTTCAAAACCTTGGAAAAGAAACTTGTTTTAACTTAGCCTAAGGCATTTACATGATAAATGTTTAATGATAGAAGCACAGTGTTGGTATTTCCTATTTCCTTGAAGTTGAAAGAAAGAGAGACCAGGAATTTATGGCATGTATTCACAATAATGAAAGAATTCTTAGTGTCTATTTTTACTTTTTGTGGTGCACCCTGTCAATTCATTCTTTCGTACCACTGAACTACTCATTTGAAAAGATCAAATAAGTTGTATTAAATATGATGCAGATTACTGTATATCAATGTTTTTGTGATTTTACCTTCTTTTTACTGCAGTAATAATCCTAAACTTATTCAGTGTTTTTATGTTATATTATATATTTTACGTTAGTTATTGCCTGTGGTTTTTATGGGTTTTTTTTTGTTTTTTTCATGTAATTCTGTGTAAACTAAGATTTTTCAAGGATTTCATATTTTTCTTTTGGTCAATAAAGTTATCTTGTATCTTAAAATAAATTCACAGCCAGACCATTTAAAGCATATGCGAGGAATATAAGGACTGTATTTTTTATTTGTTTATTTGGTTTTTTTTAAAATCAAAATCTAATAACTTAAATATACAAAGTAGTGAATTTAAATACAAATATATAGTAAGTGTAAATTAAATCTCTTGAGAATATTTGTTAGATGTTTATTTGTAAAAGATCACCCATATATCTGTCTAGGTGATGCTGTATAGGCAAATATACATACAGTAAATAACGAGTCAGATGGTATCAGATATATGCCACAAAATTTATTTTCAGAGTTAGCGAGTACTTTCGACTATAAGTCTTTATCAAGCTATGATAGCTTACATATTTTTATGATAGTTTGTGTAACATTGTAGGTAAAATAATCGGCGTAGACGAATCAAGTGCATATCATTGGCCATTGTGTGAGCAATGTGGGTCTGACAAACTGCATGCAGTAGCTTCATTGTAAGTATATTATTAGTGTATATATACCGATAGTATTTGATATGTAATTTTTTATCTTTAAAGTTTACTTATTTATCAATCAGCCCTAATTGTTACACGGTATCTGGATCATAGTTGAAAGTGGGTCATACAAACCTGCAATGTATATATCCTTGTGTAGATAAAGAGCTGTATTTGTGGATGTTTGTTCTAAATTTTGTTATTTTACCCTTCATGTTCCTACCAGGTCAAGACATGCTTTAAAAGTTGTTTTTCTTTCTAAACATGTGTTTCATTCATTTTCTCACTCTAATATCCTTTTGCAAAGGATTTTTTTTTTGTCTGAAATCAGGTTTCACTATATTTTTTCCAGCCAATTAAGCTGTATGCACACAGTAATTTTATGTTCCAGTTCCTAATATTTGCCAATATATGGATGTGATATGACATCATCATACACATAATGAGTGTGATAAGATATAAGCATGCCCATAAATGGGCAAATCAAACATAAGCATGCCCATAAATGGGCAAATCAAACATATTTGTCAAACAAAAGTTTTTAGTGTGAACATAGCTCTATACCATTAATAATCCCCTTATCTCTTACCTGATTTTTCTTTGCCTGAAATTGCCAGAGGTCATTCACCTTTTCTAGGAATAAAGCTGGTTTCACACTGTTGTACAGCGGTGGTACGATGAGTATAAATCTGCCAGATGATGGTTGATACCAAGGGGAATGGGGCAAGTTTCTTGTCAAAAATATCCCCTAAATGTTTCAAGATTATAAAAAAAAAAAGGAATAAAAAAGAAAATTGTATTCAAATTCAAGTCTCAGAGTGCCATTTCTGGGAATTTAGAGGTGACGTAATCATGAAATTTCTTACCTTAGCTCGAACCATGGTGGGCCGAGGTGGTCTACACACTTTAAACTCTTTTAAGACCAAACTAAAGACCTTCATTTTCCATCAAGTTTTTCATTCTTATTCTGTTTTTTATGTACAGCAAATTAAGAGCTTGCATATATGCCCTATATAAAAATGAACTATTATTGTTATTCACCTTCCATGTGAAAGTCTGTCTTTTGGCCCCTATATTTCAAATTCCTGGATCTGCCACTAGAGAGTTTTGTGTTGCATGTATAAATTCAATGATGTTACACATGCATATATTAATAAATAGTGCATACAGGTATCGATTTATATAAGTATATGTATAAACAGATACAAAATTTTTGATATACTTTAGTGTAAAATTTTATTATTATTCTATTATTGTTGTAATTTTTGTTATTAGTTTTACTATTATTCTATTGAATTACTTCCACCACATTGCATTATAAACATGATAGTTTCAATCTTCAAAGGATGTATATCTAACCAGTTTCTATTTTGTTTACAGAAATGAAACATTCTACTGTGAAGTTTGCCAGCAAAACTTTGTGTCCACAGCCACCAGGATGTTTTTAGAGGTGTATATAAAATGTGAATCAGTTGAAAAAGCTCAAATAAAACTTCAAGTAAGTCATTTACACCATTAATGTTTTTTTTAATGATGATTTATCAATTTTAGATTATTTTATTGTAATTATTTTTATAACAATAATTATCATTACTGTTGTTACCATTTAACATTATTATTACTACTGTATTATCATTATTCATTAGGCCGACCAGCCCTCCTTAAACTAACGTTAGAATACCGCACTTTCGGCAGTAAAGAACAATTAAAACCTCATAAAAAAGGCAACTAATCCGTTTACCTATAATTGAATCCAAGGACACCAGTGTTAAACACTCAGTACTTATCCTTGATAATGTGTTAATCCAATTAATATAGTGAGATAACGTAACTTTATCGAGGGCGGGTTGAGCTAATGTTGAGGCATGCCAACCCCAAAACCAGCGTACTGTTGCAATATGTTAAAATGAGTAATTAGCATAACAATGTGGCAGCATTGTATAACTTCAATACAGAGAAGCTGTAGTACTTTAATTCATAACTTTGATGACAGAAAATTGATTCCACTAAATGACCCCATCATTTTAAACCTTGTAATGTGGAGAATATGAATTTATGGAAAAGTCAATTTTCCTTTTTGGGTCATTGATGTTGGTTTTGGGGTATTTTAAGCCTCATTTTCTTTTATTAATCAATATTAATAGATTTTCCCATGCACAATTGAAAAATTAGTGCATGAATTGAATAGTTATTAATACTGATTATATTTATCAGTCATTATTATCATGATTTTTAAAACTTATTTTTTAAAGTTACAACAGTTGTCTATTGAGAGAATACTGCCACCAATAACACCCGAGATAAAGCTTCAAGGGTTTGATCTGCAAAGCATCATGGGAAAAAGCATTGGACCAATCAATGCCATAGTTAGAGAAATCTCTGCAGTACCAAAACAGTTTATGTTAGAAGAAATAGAAATATAGGTAAGCTGCTTCAATATGCATTCATATAAATTAATATTATATATTACTGAATATGGATAGATTATTGATATTTATTCAAATAAACGCCCCATAATTACACTGTAAATGTGGAACTACAGCACATAATTACCATCAAAATGTGATATTGCATCATCATAAATACTCATTGATATCAACCAGGTTAGAAATAATGTAATTCTGCTGGAGTAGACCATAAATAAAATGTTTGGAGAATGATGTCACTTCCATTAGATTTGTTTAGTTGTGGGGGGGGGGTACGCTTATTTGAGGAAAAAATAAATGCCCAAGGGCTTTTATTCAAGGGAGGTGGAGGCATTTGTTCGGGGGGGGGAGACATTTATTCGAATAAATACTGTATGTATATGTATGTGGGCCAAGAATCATCCAGATCTAAAAAATGCAGTATGTAAGTTAAGATTTTGCACAGTTGCATGCGTGATCAATCTAGTCACAGGTAATTTCTTTTGAACTCAGCATAGCATGCAGTATTAGCGCACACTCTGGAAGATGTAACCAAGTTGCGCTGTTTGCATTCAACTTTTCTGCTAGGAAACTGCAGCCTGGTTATTATTCCTGTGCAATATTTGCACAGCATGGCTTTGGTAATTTTAAAGAAAATACGCTGAAGAAGCCATGCATTTTCTTTTATATAATGACTGTAACTGTTTACAATATTGTACCACTACTTTGTGTCTATTCTGCCAATGATTATCTGTAAATTCACATTTTGTAGCCAAAATGAAAGATACTTCGATATAGGCCTACAGGTGGATTTGAATTACTAATATAATAATAATAATGTGTAATTAGATTACTTATTTTGTACACGGTGTCATTCATTATCAACAATTCTAATTAATTCCACTTATGACCTTTGTTGCACTGTCTATTTTCTGCAAACATAAACAATTCTAACATATTTTAATACATATGACATTACCTTGTTAACATTAACCTTTACGTCAGTAGTATGTACTCCTGTGTTCTGGCACTGTGATGCATATACAATATATAATTATACATCAATAAAACAACCTTTTCACAGTATGGTCGCCAAATTGGTATTTATTATTTATTGCAATTAATTTATGTCTTTATTGTCTTCGATTATAATGATGTCTTTAGGATAAAATGCAAATCAAGAATATATTTTTGTAAATTCTCATTGATTTATTTTATGTTATTGATTTGTTTATAATTTAGATTAAAAAAATTCTGGCAGAAATTACTTTGAGGACAAAAAAGTCAAACAAAAGTACAGAATGTTGAAGAAAAATAATAGGATGAGACTTTTAATTAATTGATTAACCTTAGGATTTTTTGAAATGCAAGACAATAAATTCCATGATTTTAACTCTTGTATCAGAGGTCCTAAGTCACATGAGGGAGATATGGTTTCATGAGCTTTAACAAAACATCTTATGTATTGTGTTGCACATGGAGATACTCATGACTAGCTGACATCAGAGAGACAATAAAGCCCCTTTCAGACAGAAAATACTGCAATTATGCCGTAGTCATGCCGGCGCTAATGCCAGTGTAGACCCTTTCACACAATTAGTAAAAATCCGGTATTAATACCGTATTCTGTCTGAAAGGGGTCCCGCGTGAAAGAAGTATTTTGCGTCTGTGAACAAAGAGGGCGCAATTTTATATTGGCAACCCAGATCTTAAAACAACTCTTCGCACGTTCAACAAAAATGTTTCACACTTTGACCTCTGATTTGTTATGCTTCAGTGCGTAAGACGGCAATGAACCGCTACGGTATTAATGCGGTATTTTGACTAGGTTCTGAGGAGGTCTAACCTAAGCTGGCGTTTAGGCATATTTACCCTTTCACATAGAATGCCTGAATTCGGTTTGTCACTCCTCCAGCACAATTCTCTTTTACCTTAGTAAACTTTTTTTTTTTTTAAAACTAAAACAGTGTTTATGCTTAAAAAGTAGAAAATACCCAAATAATACAACAATTTTGGATTCGCATCACATACCATGCACCAAAATAGGCTAGGCCTTGGCCCCCCCTATCCTTGTCCAAGACTATTCCAGCCTTATAAGCTCATGAAAATGAAAAAAAATTATTGTTCCTTGTAGTCAAAAAAAAAAAAAAAAAGCTAAAATGCCGACCCTAAATTTCGTAAAATTTGGTCGGTTGAGCGTGGCCAACACAATCATTTTTTTTTTTATTTGGAATAACCGTTGTGCCAACTTCTTCCACAAATGTACTACATAAATTTTATCAGCTCTGAAACACTTGTTAATTGACATTGGCATTTTTTTTCACCCAATGTAAACAAACAAGAAAGAGAGTGATTGCACTTTCCTGATTTTGAATTGCAGCCATTTTATTTAGGATTCAGGTTTCACAGATAATTAACCACTGAGTTTGGACAAAGGGCTTTAGCTTAATTGTTGGCTCTTAGTCACTCATTATTTTAATTGGTTTGAAAGGAATAATAGATGTTGCTTGTATTATGAAGACAGTACTGATCTTCCCTCTAAAGCACATTGCCTTATGCCCCCATTCCCTCATTGGTTATGTCCTGTTGGACCAAATAAGGCATACGCCTCAGAACAACTTAAATTGGTCCAACTTTTCCCACTTTCTATAGGCTCCAGGGGCTTAGCTTCCTGGGTCCCTAGGGCTTTGTCCCTAGACCCCACTGGTCTCCTTCAGAAATTGTCAGACCTAGTTTCAAACAACTCATGTAAAACCTGGCTCCAACTGAACCCTTCTCCCCAGTAAAATCTTTCATCTCTACCCCAGCACAGGGGTAGAGATGGACCAGATTGACCCTTTTCCAAGAGAAACAATAAAAATGATTGCATAATGTTCACAACCCCCTCCTCCCACCAATAAGAGATTGCATTTTTCCTTCAACACATGTGTTTACCTCCTTCCCAAGAGAATCTAAAAATATGCAATGCCACAAACTTTGATCCCCTTCCCTAGGAGAAACTGAAAATTTTCTGACAGCATGGGTGTGGCCCCTTCTCCAGAATAAACTAAAAATCTTATAGCTTCACAACAATACAGGTGTTAAACCTGTCTCTTATACACATAGATGTGTATAAGAGACCCTACCTCTTCCCAAAAACAAATTTAAAATCTTGAAACCACAGATCAAGACCCTGGAAAATATTAACAGTGCATGTCCACCACATAGCGTGTTGAACTCAACTGAAAAATAATAATCCTTATGGCTTGAGCTGATTGATTGTTGTGACAAGTAACTAGAGTGATTGTATGCAAATTTTCAGCTGTTTGAATTTGATGAGCTTCTCAGGTAAACACAGGTATTAGCAGGTAAATATTTTCTAAGCAGGAACTATGAATCATAGCAGAAACAATTGAGAACGTGATTCATCGCCTTTTAATTAGATGATGATTGAAGCGATTTCATTGGTGTTTGTAGCAGCATGATCCAGAATTACCCAATCAAATAGTACTGATTGTTTGTAACATAGTAGTGGTGAATTTAAATGGGAGTGGGGGGGGGGGCAAGCTCGATGATGATTTTTGACATTTTGGAATCATCATTTTATCATTTTTATAAAAGAAAATGTACATGCTATATTATCAACCACATACCCAAGTGTATTTTTTGTACTCTTATGAAAATTAATAAATGGTCTATAACATTGTAACAACACTATTTAAAATAAGTTTCTATTTGCAGTCATACAATCAAAATATCTGTCTCTTATACACATCTATATTAACAGTGCAAAGCATATGAACATTGAAATGGAACGAACTAACATATAATACAGATTGATACTGTCATACATATTGGTGTATATATATAATATATATATTTATTTATAGCTTTGCGTAATGTATATACAGATTTATTATTTTGGTTTTCATAAACATTGATAATGAAAAGAATTAACTTGTTTTGATAAGTAACTATAATATTTTGTAACAAATACCATTTAACATGGGATCATAATTTTTAACTGATTAGCGGTTCGGAATTTATACTTCTAACTCCAATCATATAAATCCCTTTTTTATGCACCAATGCCAATCCGACCCCAGAGACTAAGGCCTTGTGAGTAGTTCCCCTTGTCTCCTTATTGGTCCTAAATGTAAACACATTTATTTTTATAATGATTTCCATCAAAATACTTAATTTTTATTGGTTATATAAATACAAAATATTTGGTATTACTGTAGATTGAAATGAGACGGGGGCACTCAATCAGTGACCCTGCATATCCCACCCTATATGTTAAAATACTCCTTATCAATATTACTCCTTATCAATACTATTAAATTACAGTACTCTGTAACTTATTGACATTTGTTACAGTTACAGTACTGTACTCAATATCCTTGAAATCATATTGTATATTTTATCACTGACTGTCAAAACTATTGAACAAACAGGAACTATTTAAAACAATAGTGTTTAACTACTGCTGACTTTCAAGAACTGGATGTCAAACATGTGGCATGTATCATGTGATGGAAATCTGTGACAATGTAGAATCAAAGCAACCCACCAGGAAGTTTATCACACTTGTTGATCCTTTATCCTTTGTCCCATATGCGAAAATAATGGAATTGTCACGAGACTTGTTCAACTCCATGCAATTTTCCCATCTGCTTACTTTACTTTTAAGTGCCCTGACTTTAAGGTTACTGAACTGGTTTATTTGTCCGGTCTTTCTCCTCCCTATCTCCACTCCCTATCTCCCATCCATTGTGGTTTAAATTTTATTTGATTGATTTAAAAAATGTAAGCTTACAGTCTAGTCTAGAATCAGCTTTAAATCTAGGCTTGAATCAGCTTTAAATCTAGGCTTGAATCAGCTTTAAATCTATGCTTGAATCAGCTTTAAATCTAGGCTTGAAAATTGAACATGCCTTAGTGAATTGATTTACATAATTCATAATTGGTTCTGAGTGGCAGTTAGGTTTAGTCAGCAGAATATCTTGGCATTATATAGTATGTTCTCGGAATGAGAG